TAAAATATTGTATGAATTCTAAACAAATTTTGAAGTCTATACTGTTTTGATACATCAGGCCTAGTTCGCTGTATTGTAAACTTTATTTTCCTAATTATTCGGCACGTGATTAAATTTTCTTAAGTGATTTGGGATGAATTACATAACTGTTAAAAGTGATTATCTTAGCAAAGGAAAAAAAAACTACGAACATTGGGTTAATACATGGAAGAGATAAAAATCTGTTATTATAGTGGAAAGTTTGACATTAGCTTATAAACTCCAAAACATTTGTGTTATTATGTGTACATCACATTATATAGGCCTTTATATATATATATATATATATATATATATATATATATATATATATATATATATATATATATATATATATATATATAATGGAAAGGCCCCGCGCGGATGGTTGGCCCTAGGCCCCGCGTATTCCTAACGCCGGCTCTGGGACCAGAGCACATTTTTAAAATTGTTATTTCATTGTTGTTTGAATGTATGTGTTACATCTTGTTCAGCCTTTTAGTCTCCATAGATACAAAAGCCATAAAATGTGCCCATATTACAGTTTAAAATAATTAGATTATTATAGGCCTACTGAACCGTTTCTCGCGAAGCTGTGTAATCAATTAGCCTACTCCCAGATGAAGCAGTCATATTATACATAGGCCCATATTTTTATTAGTCATGGTCACGTTTTGATTTGTAAGATTATACTACGCTCACACAACACATTCTTAATTGCTTAGTCTATGGGTAGATCTAGTTAAGAGAAAATGGCGTTCTAAAAATGTTTGTGCTCGAATAAAGGGTGTTTGTTGATTGATAGGCTAAATTTCAAATATAGACAAAGTAAGTTATGATATATATATATATATATATATATATATATATATATATATATATATATATATATATATATATATATATATATATATATATATATATATATATGTATATATGTATATACATATTTACTTTATTTGCAATATTATTTACTGGATAACTTCTGTTGTAACTAGATCTATCGATATAGCGGAAACAATTGACTATTTCTACCTGAATGCCTACTATATCTTATGTCCAGCAATGTGTCAATGGTGATGTAAAGTGCGAAAAAGCGAAGCTGTTGTTGTAGGCTTACACGAAGGGTGCGGAAATTGTCATCCATGCGATACTTTTGTCTCGCACACAAATTGGCCGGCTTCATTTTCAATGTGGTAAATTGCCGGAGTTTTCTGTTAAATTTTAACATCACCTGTATTTAAATGAATTTCCGATGATTTTGATCAACCTCTGCTTTCTGCGTCTGCACATTGAACACAATATTGCAGCTTATTTTAAGTTTATTTTTGGTATTGTTTGTAGGTCCCAGAGATAAGTAGCCGCAATGCCGCTTGACATTTTCGGGGGGGGGGGGGGGTCAACATTTTCCGGGGGTGGGGGTGGACACTGGTAAAAGTATATATTTTCTACGCAAATTCCATTTCGTTCGTTCGGGGAAGGGGGGGGGGGGGGTGGGCGGGATTAGACTATCCTCGGGGGGGGGGGGGGCGCTCTGCCTGGAAGAAACTCTGGCCTGGAACATGAGAAGAACAACCTCAGACCAAAAAGCTGGGATTCAGTGATGCCAACAACCAAACACCAGAAAGACCTAGATTTTGTGGTTGAATTCATTTACTACTTACATCGACAACATCATGCCCAGTCCAAGCTAAGCAAACTTAAAACATGCTTAAAGATCAACTGAAAAAATAACCCAGACTGGATCTAGACTATTTTTTTTTTCAAAAACATTTCCTTCACACATCTAAAAATTAGATTCTAATATCAACCAAGAAAAACATTCTAATGCTGCAGGTCTCACATTTTACCATTACCATTTATTCCTTTAAAGAAGCATTCAAAATATATGCCTTCTACTAAAAACCAGATACGTAGGCCTATGCCAACTTTTATTAAGCAGTTATTAAAGAACATCTCTTAGGCATAGATTTATACCTAAATAAGTAAACTGCATCCATAAACTTAGAAAGTATTTAGTAGGCCCAATAGAATTAGAATAATTAGGCCTATACTAATAATACTATAATATAGCTATAGAATATTTAAGGGGTCATCCATAAATGACGTCACGATTTTTTGGGGTGTGGGGAAATTGCGAGACGCGAAAAGCAAAATGGCGAGACGGGAAAATGCGAGAAGGGCGCGAAAACGGTCGGTCACGTGACTTTTTTGTCTCGCATTTTACCACCAGCCGATACTTACGCTGGGTGGTGTTGAAATGCGAAGATTTATGCGAAAAATTTACCGCACCCGATTTTCAGTGGTATTTGGTCTAGACTTCAAAGACGTTTCGTTTACATTGTTAAAACTTCCGATTTTTCCGTCGCTAGACGTACTGATGATTTGTCCTCCCCCCATCTTTTGTGTCGACTTAGAATACCACCTTGTTCGAAACCGACGGAAATACCGCCGACGATAGATCAGCTTCTGTCTTTTGTGTGGAACGCCGAGGCCGCCTGATTTACCGGCTTTGAAGATCACAGTGCCCGAATCCGCTGCCGCCGCAAACATATTTTCTATTGTTGCATAGAAATTTTGTATTATAGCCGCCGCCTACGATTTTTTTCTAGCTTTTTTTACCATATAAATCTAAGCACAAGGAAATGCCGACATCATTTGGATACAACAAAATAAAGTGACGTCACCGATATTATCAGTTGCTCGTGCTATATCGTAAGCTATGGGCCTACTTCAAATATTTTTAAAAACCAAGTTGAACTTATCTGAATTGTTTGGTTTTGGTGGTGGTGTTATTTGGGGTCTTCCATAAATGACGTCACACTCGTAGGGGGGGGGGGGGGGGTCTGTAATTTTATGACGATGTGTGTTGAGGGGGAGGAGGGGGGGGGTTAGATGTGAAGTCACACTATAAAAAAGCAATGTTAGAAAAAGAATTTTAGACGTTTTTTCGCGTTTTAGAAAACTGTTTTAATACATTGTATTAATTGTAATAGGAATTGATTAAAATACTCTATTTTGACCGAAATTAGACAAGATTTTGGGAAAATATCGATGTTTTAAAAAAACTCAACTGCTGGTGACAACAATGAGCAAGACATTGCCAAAATTACAGAAATGATAAAAAATACAAATTATAAAAACCGGAAAACAGATGTTGAGCGTGCGGATGATGATGATGAGAACATGGGTGTCAGTGTTGTTTGTGGGATGAACGAGGAGGTCAACTGTGATGAGAATGTGAATTGTTGTGAATGTGGATTGGAAGAAGTAGCAAAAGAAAAATGTATAAATGGGAGTCTAATGAACTGGGTTGGGTGTACTATGTGTGAAAGATGGTGTCACGAGGTGTGTTTGAGGACTGTTTCAGAAGATTTTGTTTGTAAATTTTGTTTGTAATTAAAATTACTTAATAAAAAAAATAAATTGCACTTTTTAGAATTGTTAATACTTTTACACTTTTTGCAAGTACAAAAATCCATAAATATATGTTGCAAAATATCTCTCCTGCTGACAAGATTATACCAATTCACAATGACACAGCTCACGTTTGTATAAACATGAGCGGGCTAGATTTTTAATTAATGCCGACTGAGACGGGATTTTCCTCTCGCTAACAAGAGCGGGCGATGACAGTAGCACAGCAACGATGTTAGGATTTCTAAATAGATAGATCTAGATATAGATCTATCTATCTACTTAGTATCTAGATAAAAAATAACAACATACAACACTCGTGTTAAAGGGTATGGCTAAATGCTTCTTTATTTTAAAACAAAAAAAATAATTTAAATAAATAAAGATGGAAAAAAAAGAAAAAAACTTTTTTTTCGCAAAAAGTGTCTCGCTATTTACCCTTAATTCCGCAGGTATGTCTCGCATTACCTTCTCGCATTTTCCCGCCTCGCCATTTCGCTTTTCGCGTCTCGCAATTTCCCCACACCCGACTTTTTGGGACGATTTTTACCTCCCCCCCCCTCCCCTCCGTTACACGTCGTCACAAAAAGCCAGACCCCCCCCTAAAATGACGTAACACCTCAACCTACAATCTCCCTCAAAATTGCAGTTGAATTTTTTTAAATCATCGATATTTTTCTAAAATCTTGTCTAAACTATTACAATTTATTAAAACAGTTATCTAAAACGCGAAATAACGTCTAAAATTCGAAATTCGTTTTCTAACATTGCTTTTTTATAATGTAAAAGTGTGACGTCACAACATCTGAACCCCCCCCCCCCCCCTCCCCCTCATCACACATCGTCACAAAATTACGGACCCCCCTCCGAGTGTGACGCCATTTATGGATCACCCCTTTGGCCATACTTCAGTAACAGAGTAGACAAACATATAAACAATATTTTTAAAAATGTAGATTCTATAGTCTATTAGTCTACAGTCCGTCCTCTGACAGCCACCGAGTAAATTTTGGGGTTGTTGCCTTGTTTTTGGTTTCTGTCGAGAAATGGAAAATCCAGAATGGGATGGATAAAAAAAAATTGTTGATTTCGCAGAATCGAACTAGATCTAGGCCTAATGCTTGAGTCTGTTTTATGCCAGAAAAAATTTGCCATTTTTCGCTTTCAAAAGATTATTAATTTTTTAAATGTAGGCCTACTACTTGACCTAAATAATTTTTATTCATAAATATGTGACAATAAATTGCGCACCAACACACATATTACCAATTTTCCAAGGCATCTGGATTTCTAGACCTGGATTTTTAGATTCTAGATCTATATCTAGATTGATCTACCAGACTCTAAGACTTAGTAGATCTACTATCCTATGGCCTACTATTCACTACTACTAAATCAGCAATCTAGATCTAACTACTGAGCAAGTTATAAAAAGTAAACTCTTTTAATCTAGATTTCTAGATCTAGACTAGATCTTTTAATTGAATTGCGGTTATATTATAATTAGGCTAGAATCTTTATAGGGCGACATTTTTTCTTTATTCCCATTGATTTTATTTAGTAAGAATCTCCTGAGCGGAAACTTTATGTGACATGTCAACAATGACACAAAATGATAAATGAAGTGTAAAGTAAAGATTACAGTAAACACAACACTTCAATTGGTAATCTATCGTTTTAGCGTAATCAATTCGGCTGCGGGAGAGGTAGCTGATGAATATATTTGTTTAAATAAGTTTATTTAAGTCAAATTTTACAAAATATCACAGATAATTGATTTAAAATAACAAACAGTGACCAAAACAATTTAAATAACATGAAACTAACTTTAAACTAGGTGTTTGAGATAAATATTAGTAGAAAAAAAACAGCGGCCATCTTTCCAAATAAAATTTAGAGTAGTTTCCCTGGATAAAAATGTCTATTCGTATGTATATTGTGTTGACTTTGCTGTTTAATATACATACCTGTCTTGTTTAATATAAGTAAGACAGAGGGCCGTCTTCTTATCTTTAATTTCATTTTCAAGTGAAATGAAGGCTATGTATGTTGTATGTACATCCAAGATCTCAAAAAATTTTGGGAGGTCCAACATTTACTAAACTGTCTAAACCCTTTTGTACTGATTATCATTAGGGGTCGTCCATAAAGGACGTCACAATCGTAGGGGGGAGGGGGGGGGGGGTCGGTAATTTTGCGACGATGTGTGATGACGGGGAGGGGGGGGGTTCAGATGGTGCTACGTCACACTTTTGCTTTATAGATAAGAAATGTTAGAAAACGAATTTTAGACATTATTTAGCTTTTTAAAATACAGTTTTAATAAATTATAATAGGAATTGATTAAAATACTATATTTTGACATATTTCAGACAAGATTTTGGAAAAATATCGATGTTTTAAAAAAAAATCAACTGCAATTTTGAGGGGGGGTGGGGGGGGGTTGTAGGCTGATGTGTGACGTCATTTTAGGGGGGGTCTGACTTTTTGTGACGACGTGTGACGGAGGGGAGGGGGGGAGGTAAAAATCGTATTAAAAAAGCGTGACGTCATTTATGGATGACCCCTTAACTTGTCAATTATTAGGTCGTCCATATTCCTCATAAATGACGTTGGACTCAAAATATGGGACGGTGTAAAATATTTTTTTCAAAACTGATGAAGAATATATTCGTTTTCGTTAGAAATTGTGATTAAGGGTTCGGGTATAGTAGAACTGCGATATGATATTAAATCATCATCTTGCTTTTAGTAACTATTGGGTGAGAGGGAAATTGTCGGGAAAAGTATGACGTCATTTATGGGCGATCCATTTAATTAAGCCTAGTTGTTTATTTTGTCTGTAGACATTAGTCTTAGGCCTACACTTTTTCTGAATTAAGATTATTGTGTTTATTAAAATAGGTTCAAATTTTAATTAGTTACATTTGAATACCACATGGTTTGTTGTTTTTTTTTCTTTGCCTTCTGCTGTCATCAGTTTTTGATTTCTTCAGTAGTCAATGTTTACCCCTCCCCACCATCCATTATTACCACACAAAAAAACACCCACTATATGTGTCATAGCGTAGATATATAGAATTAGACTAGACGAGTAGAGGTTACTAAGGACTGTACGAACTTGACGGTAGACGATTTGGTGCGAGAATATTGTGCGCGTGTTCAATAAAATATGTGTGGCGTGAGTGTGACGTGAGCATGGTGCGACAATGTACCGATGACGTAAGACGCAGCAGTGAAGTTAGTTGGGGGTTAGATATAGTAGAAGACGGATGTATTATTTGATATTGTGAAAATGATCTATAAGTGTGTGTTAATTAAGTTCATGTTATTTCATAAACTAAGTTGTTGACATTGTTAATTAGTGTCTGCGGAACATAAGAGTGATTCCCGTCCTCCTCACGAGCATAATAGTTGCCGTATGAATAGTAGTAGATCAGAATATATTGAGATTATATATAAATCGCCCATCACAATATAGTGATATCCCACTCTAGAAAAAAATAAACTAGATCAACGTATAGTTCGTAGGAAAATTAGAATCTATCACTTATTCGTCTGTTAAAAAAAAAAAGAAATACGTCATTTTTCTCAACCACGCCGTTTCATCCCCCACTAAGCACAACGTCACAAAGTTCGCGGCGCGCGTGACGTCATTTATCATTAGGCTAATGTTTAAGAAAGATACCGCGTAATTAAAAGAAAATCAAAACAGGCCCTAAATCACTATGGCGATGAGACTTTAACGACGTTTAGCCTGACGAATAGATCTAAATAACTTTAGTTCGGTGAATTATATTGGTGTTTAATTTATTACAGTGGCATGATGTTCTCCCTCTACTATACAAATTCACGTGCTTTTAATTTCTGCAACCTGCTGCCCTTAGACGTTCGGCTCTAAAATGCCCGTGACACAGCGGCTTCGGTAAATGCATTTAGGCTCCCGGTCCCACCTATAAACGTCTGTCCATTAAGCTCCACGCAAAACGTTTGATTAATATGTGGACATAAGCGGCGCTAGTGGTGGTGTCAACAGGGGCCAAGCTCAGGTCTTAAAGGTGCTCCGCACTTCATAAAAGACAAAATTGATGTTCAGATATCGTCGGACTCTGGCGTTTTTCCGACGGCCGTACTCCTAATGCACAGTCTTAGAGGCTGTCCACTGCTAACACTATTTTATGTTAAATTCAAGCCTATACTGAGCTGTGGCTTTACATTAGCTCAGTGGCGTAGCGAGGTCGAGTGTCACCCGGTGCGGCACTTAATGGTGTCACCCCCCAGAGGCGACAAACTTTCAATTTTCGATTGGTCCCATTTTACCTGCTAGTCAATACTTGTCGAATATTGTTGACAGGAGCTACTTGGTTTGAGCCTTGTTGTCAGAAGTTATTTCATTTGGAGTCAATATAGTGCGGCCTATTTTCGTCGGTAGGCATTTAGTGGCAGGCCCTTTTTGGCGGGGATGGTGTGCTGAGGTTGTTTAACACCGCTTAGTACAACAGACATGTAATAGTTATGAACAAATGTATGCATGAAAACGAACGCTTTATGTTCCTCATTTTCACTGAGCACAGCTTTATAGAAGATTCCAAAATAGACGTCACGCATCCCCCCGACCACCCTGCGTAAGTTGACGTCACATTAGCATTGCATATGTGACATCGTTTATGGGCAACCCCATATAACTCATTTTGGGTATTTGGTATCAACATTTTGACAACAAAGGTTATTCAAAATGTATATAGGACCTGACATCTACCCTAAATGACATCGCACACTTAAGGGGTGGAGTAACTGGTTTTGAGACGACGTTTTACGCGGGAAGTGGGAGGGGTAAGAAACGTGAAACGTTATGTATTTCGCCTAATACAAAAATGCTGAAAATAACTTTTTCATTAGAATTATGGCTTGACTTTTTAATAGACAGGGCAAAAAGGTAATTTTCGACATTACGACTATTTCGTGACGGCAAAAATGGGGGTGGGGGGGGGGGGGGGTTAAGGTGAAGAGAGGTCAAAAACGGGACGTCATTTGTGATTAAATCACTAATTAAAGGAAAAAAGCATGAAAATATTAAATGAAAATAGGAAACAAACAATAACACAAACAATAAGAATGAACTCAAACTAATATTTAAATAAACATTAGATATGTAGTGGTAGCTCTATAAAAATAGGGAGTATCTTAATGTATAAAAATTGCATCTCATAATAATAATTATAGAACTGATGTTTATTGTCAGTCAATTAAATTGTTTAAAGGGCAGAATTTAAAAAAAAAAAACGCATGCTTTGTATTTAAACACAAGACTAACCTATTTAACAGCAAACATCAATACATTTCCATACAAATAGAAATTAAAGGGAAATGACTCAAAATAATATTTTCTTAAGATGGCCGCTGTTTTTAATAGCAAATTTAGTATCTGTAACATCGTTGTTTAACTTTAATTTCCTGACATTTTTATTGATTTAAACCTTAAATGTGGTTTAATATTCAATTATCTTTAGTATTTTAGAAAAATATGCAAAAATATATCCATATTTAAGCCATATTTATTAGTTACCTTATCCCTACATTACTAGTGACGGCCGAATTGATTACGCTAAAGCGATAGATTACCCCTCAATTAACACTGAGATCTATCACTTAACAATAAGAGTCCTGAGACAAGGTAGCTCAGTAATTTTAACACGTTTCTAATCAACTGCTAAAAAAAACAAAAAAACAAAGCTTGTGTGAGATAAGAACACTGGAGTGTTTGGATTGCCACACACAACCTGTGTAACTGTTTCTCTACTTTCAATACTTTCATTGGACATTACTTTGAATTGCAGTTTTAATAACTCTATAATATTCTCTACTATAGTGAGTAGGCTATAGTATAGTCTATTAAAAAATTATTATTTATTTTTAATAGTGATCTATATTATTACTAATACTGGCCCCTAATATTAGTAATATAATATATATTATATAATAAGTTATAATAAATTATTATTCCAGTACCAAAGTCAGTAAGAGTGAGTAACAGTAAGGCCTATGGTGACATGGTCTTCTTATTCTTAAATTAAAATTTTATATAGAATCTACATGTCTATAGTAGTATTCTAATAGTATAGTATACTATATAATAGGTATATACTACTATTATATATATATATATATATATATATATATATATATATATATATATATATATATATATATATGTATATATATATATATGTATATATATATATATGTATATATATATATATATATATATATATATATATATATATATATATATATATATATATATATATATATATATATATGTATGTATATAATTTTATATATATAGGGCCTATATTATATATATATATATATATATATATATATATATATATATATATATATATATATATATATATATATGTATGTATATATATATAGGCCTATATATGGTAAATAACCTAAACCCCTATATATAAAATATATATTTGTATATATAATATACATATATACTGAGTAATATATATGTATCTTATGGGGCCTATCTATAATATAAGTGGCCAGGTAGTGTATCATTCTGTCATAGGTGTATCAGCTTTGTCTTGGCTGGGGTGGTGCGAGTCGAGCATTAATTGCATGCACCGGGAAGGCTTTTCAGGGGCGCGGAAGCCTGGGAAAACATGTTTGTTGGTGGTTTAAATTCCACCACAGATTGGGGAGAATGGAGAATTGGCGGACATATATATATATATATATATATATATATATATATATATATATAACTTCCCAAAGTTTACAGATTTTAACTCAGACATTTCATATCTTTAACTTATTAATATTATTAGTCAACCCAAGGTTACAGTACAGGGGAATGGCTTGTGTAAACAAAGTTATGAGGTTTTATCATGGAAAAAAAGTAAGTGTTTGTTTTGAGTAAAAAGTCACCTATAGTCATCAGTTTCTTTATTGTAATTTGTCAATAGCTCATACTTTATGTAGGAAAAGTCTTATTAATGTCTGTAAAGCTTGTAAGTGTATAGTTCTCTATTTTTCTGTCTTAAAAAATTAGTGCTTGATAATAATAGGAAAAATAATAAATTGGATTGCAGGTTATTTTATCCATGTGCAAATACTGGCACGGCCATTCATCAGTAAGAATACAAAAACAGTTAAGCACTTCATCAGTGACTCATCAGTTTGATATTTCTGGTATTTTCCCACCAATTCCTACCCCTTTTAATGAAGATGAGACTATTAACTTTGATAAACTAGAGTTCAATATGAAGATATGGAATAAAATGCCTTTTAAAGGTTGGTGATATATATATATATATATATATATATATATATATATATATATATATATATATATATATATATATATATATATATATATATATATATATATATATATATATATATATATATATATATATATATATATATATATATATATATATATATATATATATATATATATATATATATATATATATATTTTGATTAATCCTACTATAAGTATAAGGCAATAGATATTTTTTTCTCATGTTTTTAAAAAAAAATCAGTATTGACTATTATAATCCTATTAAACTTGTAATTATTTTCCAGGATATGTTGTACAAGGATCTAATGGTGAGTTCTGCTTCCTAAATTGGGATGAGCGTGAGATGATGGTAAAAGACACAAAGAGTCTAGCTGCTCCAGGGAAATTGATCATTGCTGGATCTGGATGTGAATGTAAAAATATTTCTTTACTTTCAACAATTAGATCTAAATAGTTTTTGCCCTTAAAATTCAAATGTGATCTTCTATAGGAATGTGCACTCACAAAAATGCTGAAATTCAAGATTCTAAAAGCAATTTTATTGTAATATTTTTATCATTTCTGCAAATATCAGAAATATGCAATGCTATAAATAGTTTATTAGCATATATATATGCAATAACTGTTTATATTTTTAAATTTGTATAGCCACAAGGGATACAATTCTTTTATCCAAGAAAATGGCTGAAGCAGGAGCAGATGCTGTCCTGGTTGTCAACCCATTTTACTTTAAAGCCAGCATGACAGCAGATGCACTGACAAGACATTTTACAAAAGTTAGTCACAATTAAAGATAATTATAATTATTCTAAAAATGACTGACCAATATTTAGTGATTAAATTAAAGTCAATGCCACTTTTCCAGGATGTCTTGGAATTCCATATTTAAAACCATGCTTCCATTGTTTTCTTTTTTAAATATAGAACACACATTTTTCTATTTTTTTTTTAGTTTCTTCTAGTTTTGCAAAAGTAAAGTCCTGGTGGTAAATTGTTTCTAGAAATATACATTCATTATAAGTCAACATACCTATGATAGAAATAGTCTTATATTTATATCCATGACAATATTTCAAAGTTCAATTAATAACTTTAAAATATTTTATCAAATAGCTTGTTACTGCATAACAGTTAAAATAATTTATAATGATGTATGGTCGTAAATAAAATTGTATTATCCGTAGGTAGCTGATCAGGTGCCTGTACCTGTTATCCTATATAACTTGCCCAGTAACACTGGGATGGACATTCCACCGGAAGTTGTGATTAAACTTGCCCAACATCCAAATATCATTGGAATGAAAGACAGTGGTGGTGATGTATGCAACCTTTTTTGACCAAAATTACTTCATTTAATTGTTGAATCATAATTTTATTTTAACTTGAATCAAAACATTTGGATCTAAATGTGGTTTATTTGTACAGATCACTCGTATTGCATCTATTGTCTATGAAACATCTTCATTTGATTTTCAAATTTTGGCTGGTTCTGCTGGTTTTCTTCTTGCAGCTCATAATGTTGGTAAGTTATTGAGTTCAATTTTTTTACAACTGTTTTACCTATTCCTCTGTCTAAAACAAAGTTGGAAAAAGAATAGGAAATAGAAAAAGGTTGATGCTTTAATAAAATATGTCTGTATATTTTAGATTTTTCTATCTGTTGATATTCATAACAGCTAATTTAAATTTGAAAAAAAATTTTTTTTGCAATAATTTGAATCATGGACTTAATTTTTGCTCACTAGGTTGTGTGGGAGGAATCTGTGGTATAGCTAACGTGCTAGGTAACGAAGTTTGTGAATTGCTTAAATTAGCTCAGGCTGGTGACTTAAAGTCAGCAATGGACTTACAGTTAAGACTTGTCATCCCAAACAGCTATGTGAGTACTAGACAATTTTAATAAGCTACAAAAATTGCTTTTATTTTTTTTAGCTTGACATGATTGTCTTTCTAATGCAAGGAAAAAATATAATTAATATTTTTATAGGTGGAAAATTATTTTTTTTTAATGCTGCTAACATAATACAACAAAGCTAAAAATTTGGAAATGATTTTCTGCTTTATTTCAATTAAGTATTACATGTTATGCCCCATAAAGCCAGTTTTCTGCTTTTCTGTCTGGATTTGCTTTTGGAATTTTCTCTCCTAGATGGGTTGCGGGTTGCTGTTCCCACCTATTTAGACGCATCTGGCCAGGGTCAGAATTGAGAACCCTGAATCTGATAGTAACATGTTAAACCATGTTTTCACACAAAACTTTTTTTTTTTTATTTAGGTGACTCGACGACTGGGTGTTCCTGGACTAAAGAAAGCAATGGAGTGGTTTGGATACTATGGAGGACCAACGAGGTCACCCCTCACCCCTCTTAAGCTAGAAGAGGAACAAGCTTTGAAAAAAGCTTTTAAAAAATCATTGTTTTTATAAACAGATATTTATATTTTAAGCTGTTTAAAAATAGAAAAGGAAAGTAAAATCATTGAGGTTAAATTAGAAAAAAATCATCTATTACTAAATATTTTAGGAAATGGGCATAAACCAGGGATGTTTTTTGTAAATCAGTAGCAAGTTTCAATTTTTAACATAATTTTGATTTTTAGAAAAGCAGAACTTTTCATCAAGTTGCTACTGTAATATAAACTGTTTTGCATTTTTGAACATTCCTTATAAAAAGTCATTTAAAACTTTTAAATATAGATAGGTCTATATTTTCCAGAATTTGTTTTGATTAAAAACATTCAATATATAAGGAAAAAAAAATTCTGTAATTTTTTTTTATAATAACTTAATCAGATGTTTTAAATTTTTATATTGCATATTTAGAATTTGAAATATTCTTTTGTTTGTAAACAGAATTTTTTATTTCTAAATATTTATATCTTTGTGGTTAACCTGTGAATAGCCAAAACCGGTTGATAATTTAAAGCCTAATGAGTTCTTTAGGCTATTAACAGATCTACGTCTGTTCATGAATCCCTGTTTAACCTACACATCTCAACATTTTAAATAGTCTAATTTTTTTGTTGCAATAATTTTAAAATTTACATATGCTGTTTTTTTGTTCAAGCTTTTTGCTATCTTTTTAACATGGATGGGGTTCTGGCCTAATGCATTATGTGTAGGGTGTCTGATCTAATAGAACATGTTGAAGTTTCTGGACTGTTTTTTGTAAAATACATATTTGATGTTCTTTTTTTAAGAAGTACCCAATTGGGTGGCATCCACCCATTACAAGAAATTTGTGCTCTTAGCTTATTATTTGGTCTAGTCTATTGGGCCTTAGTATATGCATTTTCATTAACTGTAATTTTATAGGTCAGTCACTGGCCATTAGAAAAGCAGTCTTTATTGTAAATATGTTGTGGGTGAGCAGCACTGGGTGATATATTAGAATAAAAATCTAAAATGTGAACAATGACATGAACATTATCCTTCAGCATATGAGTTTAAATAACTGATAAGTCATGAAGCTGAACTGGAAAGTCAAGCTGCAATATTCTGACTGGATTGGGTCTATTATGAGTGGAACTGTTGAATCATTTATAGACAGTGGCCTTTGGTGAGTGATTTAATAAATGGATTCATGCTACTATGATGTATGTATTGTAGAGTTCTAATTATACAAAATATAATTCAACATTTCTATACTTTTGTTGGTTCTGTATATAGCTTCTACATATTTATTCTGCATTACAAAAGATATATAAGTATTTAAATCTTTGTGCCTTTTGAAAGGTTTACATAAATACATTATCTTTATTTTTGCAATGTTGATAAAGGTTTAAATACATTGTTTAATAAAAAATGAAGTACAACATAATTTTTTTATGTTTTCATTTCATCATAATTTACTTAGCTGGTTTAAATATTTGATAAGTCAACATCTGATTATATTTTTATAGTATGCTGAAAAGATGAAAAAATAGTTTTTCATATTCATACAAAAAAAATACTAGGAAAGCAGTAATACTTTTTTAAAATCACTTTATTTTACAGCATTATGGAAATAATTATATTTTTTTTTAACAAGATAACAGGTTTTTTAAAAATGAGGAACTCTGCAAGTTTAACTAAAATAATTGGTAACTGCAGTGAGGTTAATTTAATTACTAACAAAACAGATACTGTTAGTTACCTCACAAGGTAAAGACTTTAACTTGTGAGGTAACTAACACTATGTTTTATTAATAATGCAAGTTTAACTTTACCATCAAAAGTAATTTATTTGTTCATGTTAATAAAGAAAAAGCAATCAATACAATGAATTAACCTTTTGAACAACTAAAAAGAAATGGCTTTTCATTACAAAAGCTGGAGCACTTTAAAATTATTTTCATTTTTAATATGCAAAAAGGTTTTCTAACCTGTGGTTTAAATGGAAAGGGTAAGGTTAAATAATTCATAGTGGATATTACATTTAAAGTAAGGATGACATTTTATGTGTTTGACAAGTAAACAAAAAAAAATGGTTATTATTTTACCAAAGGGTGGTGTACTTGCAAGGCCAGTTAACATATAAATTCATGGTCCAACAGACCCAGCCTGTAGACATTAACTGTCATTCAGTTGAATGTCAACTTTTATTAGAGAATTGATACTCTTTTTATTATAACACGTACTAAAATGAAAATTTTAAATGTTTCCGTAAGTGGTGGTGTTCTCTAAAGGAGAAAGTTAAGATGTTTGCATTTTCAGTAGAGGTAGCTAAGACATTTTCGATTAGTTTAGAAGCAACGGCAATAAAAGCTTTATAAATTATATATTTTTTCAAATTAGCACTGAATTTTAACTGAACGCAAACATTCTATCAAAATAATGTAACAATCACTGTGCTTACACATTTGTCTTTAATTAAATTAGTTAGGCTGCTGTATATATTATATATACAGAGGCATAGTGACTCGTTCCAGTGATGTAGAAAACAGCTAAATGTCTTAATTTTGACTATGTATAATTAAGTAATGCAGCTGAGAATGAGTTTTTAATATTTTTCCCACCCCGTCTGGCACCCCTCTTCTGTCAGCCACCCCACCCAACCTCACATAGCTATGGCTCTGTATATATATTAATGCTGGGCAAATAGAATCTGCAGCCTACAACCTGAACTCTTCGTAATTTAAAGATTGTAAAATCGAAATACACAGATTGCATTGAAGAAGTGGTTATATTATTCAAAACCTACTCTAGAAGTATGATAACACTCAACAGTGACTAGGTTTTAATAAAAACTGAAGTTTTTAAAAATTTAATATCTTGTATAAAACATACATGACTTAAAAATAAATAAAGAAAGAAAAAGGTACATTCTGAGATTCACAAATGAATTCTAAAAAGTAAAACAACTTAAATAATGTTATAGGGTACAGTGTATAATAATAAGATATATATAAATAGTTGTTCCATTAAAATAAGAATAAACCTTTATAAACAGTGAGTATATAAAACAAAGATGTCACAAGTCCATATTTTAAAAAAAAATTATGTATGTCAGTATTAGTTTTTGTTAAGAGTAAAATCTCATAAAAATATAAAAAAAATATCACAAGAGACCAAAGGCAATGGTCTATAAAAAAAGATTCAAACTTATGGCTTATGGTTGATAGTTATGATGTTAAATAGATCATTTTCTACAGAATTCAAACAACAAACCCTTACAATGTCAGACTATGTTGGCTATCAATATTTAAAAGAAAACTGAAAACCATAAAAAGTTGGATATTTAGCTTAAAACTAAAACTAAGTGACTTGCTAATTCACTATTGCTTAAAAAAAAAAACGTTGAAAAATAAAAGAAACAACAAACATAATTGGAAAACAATGCCATCTCCATTTGTCTGCATAACGCATTTTAACAATAAGCATGTGTGTTTTATTGATAGATCTAGATCTAACATTGAATGAAATATGCTCTTCTCTGTGCCAGTCAGATGATTAATGTTATATAAACAGGCCTATAGACTATAATATATTATTATATATAAGTAGACCTAATATAGTCATGTAATTGTAACTATAGTACTAACACATAAGTTTACCTATGAAATAAAAATTGACTTAAATAATCTAGATCTAGGTAGGTCTACACCAAACGGACCTAAAAATTCTTTTTTTTTTTGGTCCCGCATATTATCTAATGAAGGAAAGGTTGACTTGAAATACTAAGCTACACCAAACCGACCTAAAACGTCGAATCTCTATAATTAATTATAATATATATTTTTTAATGCTGGATCTTTCAGCAAACTATGGTCATGGTTCCGTTTAAAATTGTATATTTTCATGTCATTTTTCAGTTTTTATGTAATTAGCCTTATTTTTAAAGAAATGGCTTAATGTTCTTCCCGCTTCAATTTTCGTAACGGTAAAAGGTCACGTGAGCGTAATTTTCGTCGCCAATGTCAACAATTCATGGGTGTAGTTGTAGTACTAGTAGAAAACCCGCCACGTTCAAGAATGGTTTTATTTACATTTTTTTCAACAAAGTAGATGGTCCAACTTACGTATAGCTTTAAAACATTTTTTTTTTCAAAAAAAATAAAAAAAATAGATGTTTTACGAATCAACGTGGCTTTAGAATTTATGTTTAATTTAGAGTAGTGTTTTGTGCCGGCACCTAAAAATCTGCATTTTTTTTTTGCGGCAATGCATTTCCCTCTCCCCTAAAGATTCCGAACAAATGATTGCCAATCATGGTAAAATAAAAAACTATTGAAGAATTAAAACCAATTTGTTACTAAGCCTTTAAAGGTTTAACTCGACCAAATTAAGGTGATTAATTTTAGGGCTATCACCCCCCCCCCCCCTCAGGTAGGCCATACTATAGGCTTTTTAAGTAAATGTTATTGGCCTAGTTGTGAAGAACGAGTTAAAATAGTAGTGTAAAATGCATGGTTGGTTATCGATTAGCCTATGTTACTGTACATAAATTATGAAGTTTTAGTGTAAGCCTAGTCCTACTACATCGCCATGATCGTTGAACGAGTTATGACTTGTGTAGACTATACCAAGATAATATAAGCCTAGGTATAGGACTGTTGACTGATGTATTCTAAATAAATATTCTTTCTTTTGAATGCACTTCTAGTTCAAGATAGGCCTAATTGTTTTGCCAAAAAATATTTCCCCGGAATGTAAACCCTTCAGCCATTATAGGATTGCTTAATGGGCACAAAAACTGTTTACGTTCAAACTATGGCTATTTAATTTTGTTTTAGAGTAGAAACTAGCCCAGGTCTGCTCTCTTGAAGGTGTATAACTTTTTTAAATGACGTATTTAGATATGTCACTGTGAAAGTAAAACCCTATAGACCTACTCTTCTGATTATACGTAAGCTTACATGTTATCGGCGCATAGATTTTTTAAAAAAAACTTTATTCCCCAAAATATTAATAAAACCTGTACGCCTATTTGCTTTTATTGAAGTAAATTATTGGAGATTTTTTTAAAATTATCACGTCTTTTTACTGATCTTTTTAATAATAATACCAAAACGTCATAAAAAAGACAACTGTATTTAAATTGATTTAAATGATGTAGGAACTTTTTAGGTTTAAAATATTGGGTATGTTCTTTGTGTATTTGTTTTCTAAAGAGTGAGTTTCTGTCTATACTTACAGAGATATAACCCGTCAAAAGAAGCCTTTTTCAAACGTCACAAAGTTTTTAATGCTGGAGATATTTAAACAAAATGGTATCCTCGATCTTATAATCTTGAGTTATTGACAAAGCAGCATGAACACTGGGACAGTTTTGTAAAATCGGTTTGGTGTAGACCCTTTCTAATGTAATGTATACTATGAAAGATGTACTATACAGTCTGCACAACAATACAGCACAGTCTTAATTAAAAATATTTGTTCTGTCTATGTTCAAATACTCCTATTATCAATTACTACCTAACAAGAGTCTATAACACATGGTCTAAAGATCTCAACATCAACGTTTTTATTACATGTAAAATAAGAATCAATACAATAAAATGTCCTCTTTTTTGTATTCACTGCTGATGCAAAATAAAAATTTTCTAACAATCTATGTTTAAGTAGTTCCAGTGTATGCTTTACCACTGGCGAATAATAGATTAAGAACAAATTTCTCGTTAGAATACACAATGACTAACTATCAAAGGTATTTTCTGAGCTTTAGCTCAGATTATAGTTACTGATTAAAAAGCCACAAATTAATTGATGCACATTGATTAAAATGACAAATCCAGGCTGGGAAAACACATGTAATCTGTAACTATGGTTCTATCAGGAACTTTACTAATTTCCCACCATCCATCTTGATAGTTGTTCCTAAATAGAGGAATAGCAAAAAACTAAATAGTTTAAAAACATAAATATAAATTCATGCAGACACACATGCAACAAATGTAGGATATAAATTACATGTATATTTATACAACAAAAAAAAAAGAAGAAAGAAACTTCTGAAAATAAACTTATGTAAAGTTCTTACAAGGTTAATTATCAAGATCATTACAGAGAAAACTGTATTATCAATACAAAGGGGTCATCCATATATGACGTCACGCTTTTTACCTCCCCCCTCCCCCACACATCGTCACAAAAAGCCAGACCACCCCCTGAAATGACGTCACACCTCAGCCTACAACCCCCCTCAAAACTGCAGTTGAATTTTTTTTTAAACATCGATATTTTTCCAAAATCTTGTCTGAACTCTGTCAAAACAGAGTAGTTTAATCAATTCCTATTACAATTTATTAAAACAGTTTTCTAAAACGCAAAATAAGGTCTAAAATTCGTTTTCTAACATTGCTTTTTTTATAGTGCAAGTGTGACGTCGAACCATCTGAACCCCCCCCCCCCCTCACACCATCACAAAATTACGGACCCCCCTCCCCCTACAAGTGTATCGTCATTTATGGACGACCCCTAAACTTATGTAAAGTTCTAACAAGGTTAATTATCAAGATCAATACAGAGAAAACTGTGATATCAATACAAACTAGAAAAATTAATGCAAGCAATTTGAGAGCTAAGAAATAACAAGGGAGTGAGCTATGTTAAACGTGTATATTTTCAGCGACTTCCAGTGGAATCGGGCAATATAGATGGCAGGTAAGTTTGTGACAAGCTGCTCATTATATGAGGAAACACATAAGGACAAAAAGTACTTAGAATCTGCAGCTTTGTGAGACTATGATATAAAATTTCCAATTAAAATTATCAAATTCTGAAGGTTTTTTAGAAAATGGAAATAAAGTAGAAAGTTCCACTTCTGTTAACCAGAAATAGCTCAGACACCTATGTAGTACAAAGTTATCAGTTTTTGAGAAGAAAATCTAATACAATAAAATAAAGTTGAATATGAAATTTTGTCCATCTAACTCAAGCTATTGAGTTAACACACATACAGTCACACATACATGCATTCAGACAAGATAGCAAAACTGGGTCTTTCCAACGCAGGAGGTGTAAAACAATGAGATTTGTCAAAATCTCAATTAGGATTTTTTGCATGCAAAAATACTTCCCCTATACTTCTCATTCAACAAAGTAGAAATTTTACTACTATTAATCATAAAAAACGAACAAAAGCAGCCAATTTTTGAACAGAAGAATTTAAACAAGAAACAATTCCAAACTTCTCAAATGTTACCTCAAGCTCATTTTATCTACGTTTTTTTTTCTATTTTGTTTACAACTAAAGCAGCAAAATGACCCTTTGAGAAAAAAATGAATAGAAATTTATGTAAACCATGATGATGATGATGTTCTTATACTTTTAAAATGAAAAGGAGTATCACAGATCTGTCTAAGTGATGCATTAAAAATTGCTAGTTTGTGTTCTATTCAATTTTATATAAAAATTAGATATAAGTCTGAAAGTGTGAATTTTTAAACGATTGTATTTCAATGCAATTATTTTACAATAGGATTCAATGTTGTGTTATTAAAACTGAATATGAGAATACATTAGCCCAGTTGATCTCTTGATAAATAAGGCTAATGTATCATTAGACAAATTTTACTTACAGGGAACGAATAGATGAAGAGGGCAAATAGGAGGATGATCAAAAAGATCACCAACATCCATATCAGATAACAGCCATAGTTACGCCAGATTATATGTTTAAACGTCTTCCATGGAGAGGTGAACCACAGGAATGATGTATCAGGTCGCCTAATTAATTATAATATACATATTTGCAGAATATTTGATTATGGAAATAATATTAAAATGGCCATGTGTAAAGAAATCTTTCATAAGAAAAGTATACTAACCAATAGCATAAAAATAGTACAATTACAGTAAGCTTTTTAAAATAAGTGAATTTTAAAATCAAGGAATTGTTCAGAAGCAAAACAAAAATAATATGGTAACATCTAACAAACCAATCAAAGACCTATTCCCATATACTGATGGGGACAGAATTGGACTTTTGAGACATTGTAGGGTCTTAGAGAGTGTGATGTAGTAGTATATTACATGTATTTTAAAAAATTGTAGTTTAAAACTTTAGAATCATAGTTATATTAAAACGAACTTCAAAGATTGACAAATTTCTCAACAGTTATGCACTGGCGGCTTACAAATATAAGCATTCACCATCTATAATTTAAACATATTTTACACCCCAGCCACCAGTTGTCACATGTGGGCCATCACATTAACTATTCCAGCAACAAGTATGTCTTTTTATTATTATTTTAAATATCCCCCCCCCCCCCCCACCAGTTATATATGTAGCAGATCAGCTCAAACTTCTGTAATTATAAATTTAAAATTTCTTATTAATTGTTGCATCTTTTAGCACCACATCAATTGTTGACAATCCTTTAACATTTTAATTTATTACATCATGATTATAAATAATTGCAATTTTAAGCTGCCTATTAAGAATGTGACTTATCATTAGCAAATGACAAACAACTTTTATCTAAACAATGTCATTTAAGTGACTAGTCAATACCAAGACAAGAAATTGTGAGTCACACAAGTTCAAGATATAGACTCACAGTGATTCCCTCACTTCATAAGAAAGAGAAACTGAGATGAGAGGGTGGTAGATTAATTGCATGCATGAAAATAGAAAACAGGGCCACACGGACAACAAAGTCAAATTATAGTAGAAGCTGAGAGCAAATAATTATTTTGAATTTTAAGCTGGTTCCGGTTTTCAAAGTTATTAGATAAAATTGATGTCTAGACTATTCCAGAGGTGGATCACTATGAAGTGTAGTAAACAAGGTCTGGTATGCATTCAACACCCACAGTAAACAGCCAAATTCTATCAACTTAAAAGTTAAGTTTAATAGCAGGATATTTTTCAATGCTTAATTTGTCTTTCTATTTTTCTAGAATAAAAAAAAAGCATATGTTTAGCATTATTGACTTATGATCCCTACTTTGGCATGTCAAGCTTAGGGTGTGCGTTGGGTTCATCTCTGCCAAGACCAGCAGGTCTCTCTTCAGCCTGGGCTGCTGTAAGTAACTCTAGTTCCATTTCTACTTTGCCCTGCAAATCATGTTGTTCAATATATTTAAATATATTGTATAAGCTTAAATAAAATGGTAATCTTCTTTAAGGTGCTGAGACTTACACTGAGCACCCGAGTACCAGAGGCATCATCATAACAGGGCCAAAATCCTTTCATGTGTTTCATTTCAAAGAGTGATACAAGTTTGACATCTTTCCCCACATCTGGCAACATTTTTAATGTGCAGTTCCTGGCCCGTTTGGCAGGTAAAGGCATGGCATTAAGATTCAGCTCAAGATGACCTAGTCAACATCAGGAAAAATTAAAACATTGGCTGTACAGTTTGCTATGAACAAAATTTATAATAAAACAAGCTTATGAATTTTATATTGGAGTCAGTGTTTTTATGGGATGACAATGTGCCTGGAAATACTATCTCTATTCTAAACAATCTAAAGTGCACTGTAATTTTTTTTTGAAACTCCCTGTGCAGAACGACCAATCAGCATAGCACAGGTGGTAAAAAAATTTCTGCTGGGGAACTATGGGTCCCAAAGCATAAAATACTTCCAGGGTAGCACTCTATGTTTACACCTTTTTAAATGACAGATACCTTCCCTGGTATTGACTCAATACCCTCCCAAAGTTTCATTGCGATAGGGTGACTGGTGTAGTAGGCATAAAAGACAGCCACACACATAATTTCAATTACTAATCAACAGATTATCAATTACATCTTTTAGACAAACTTAAAAAATCAGGAACAAACCAATAAAATCATCCTTTGAGAACTTGTCATTGTCCCAAATCTGTGTGATCAGCTTGGGAATTGTTCTAATTTCTGTTGTATCAAGACTCCAGAAATGTTCCTGCAAATAAGATATTGACCTTCTGTGTGGAGCCAAAATGCTGACAAAAACAAAGTACACATTTTAGAAATAAGTAAAATTAGATTGTATTTAAGAACAAAAGCCTAACCTTTTTCCTGACAATCATTGTTTGTTCAGCAACTTGATATTCAAATGGAAATGCCATCCTCCAGTTAAAATTACCTTCCCCATCTAGAGACCTAATGTAAAAAAAACATTTTAGGCTTAATTTAAAAAAACAAAAACATGACAAAAACTGAATAAATGTAACACAAGTTTAGGTGCTGGCTTGGTCTGGAGGGTAAAGCTCATGGTTGCTAAACCAAAAAGTTGCGAGTTCGAACCTCCAGTCAGATAAGCCTCAATAGCTGGGGACAGTAACCCATCTAGAAGAGAAAACTCTAAAATCAAACAACTGCTGCCTTGTAGTTTGTTCTTGGATGGACAAAGGCTATGGAAGCAAATCCAAAAAAAGAACAAGAATAAGACAAGCTTGAAACAAACTCTAAAAACTATATTTATAGAACTTAAACTTAACAGAATTTGAATGTCTGTAAATATATTTGTTCAACTGTTGCACCATTTTTATCAGTAGTTTTTAAATAAAGATGTCAATATGGCATACCTGTAATGTACATCTGTCTTCTGTTTTTCATCTATGCCAGCCATCCAAGACTGCACATAAATGTCACTCATTTTCTCTCCTGTTATTGATTCTTCTTCTAAGATAACATCTTTGGTATTCCAAATAATTATTCGAAGAACATATCTATAAGATAGTAAATTATAAAAGTAACACTTATGCAAACAAAACAATTCTCTTGCCACCTAGCTACAGTAAAGTGAAAGACCATTTAAAAATGTGTGGATTTGGGTGGAAATTAGTTTCAAAAGCTTAACAAAAATGTATAAGAATTTTAATGATTGTTTGCCAATAAATTTAATAAAAATTGAGTCATAAACATTAAGGCCCTGATACTTTAATAATCTCTTTTTTGGCAGATTATTTACTTAAAGTGGAAATCAAATAACTGAAAAAGAGAGTTTGCAAACAATATTTCCATTACATACTGTGCAGGCTTTCTTGGAGAAATGTCAAAAGGTGGCCCTGGAGGTCCTAGGGATGAAGGAAAGATGTCAACCCACATATGAAGTCGACCCTGGGAAACGAACAGATACAGATGCAACCATGGTTTACTTTTAAAAAACTTGTTAAACTGTAAGTTGATTTCTAAAAGTTAACTTCATCAACACAGTTAAAAAGGTTAAAAGCTACAAAATGTTGCTGCTCTATGTGACGTGTGCAGTAATGAATCAAATTATCAACAGTTCAATGTGAATAATGTAATAGAGTGTGAGGTGAGTATGAGATATTCAGTAATGTATATTACAACTAGCTCTATGTGAGATGTTCAGTAATGTATGAGGATATCACCTGCTCTATGTTAGGCTGTAGGGGGTTAAAAATGGGTCTAGATTCAACATGCTCCTTGACCAAGGGGAACAGGTTCAGAACATGTAATGCCAAACGCTGTTCCTCAGGTCCAACGTGCTTGTTAAAAGGTGGAACTTTCTCTACAAGGATGAATCAAGAAAATTGAAAGTGACATCATTTGATTATAAGAACCATATAATAAATTAAAGTTAGATAGCTATCATTTTAAAAACCCATTGATGTTCATAACATGATAAAGCTATAAATTTAGCACTATATATATATGTTTTTGGTCTGTGAGCTATCTATTAACAATGAGATTCTGAACTTAAAAAAACTTACCAAAGTCTGACAATTTATATGTTTTGTCTCCAACCTTGACTGTTGTAGTTTCTAAGAAAACAGGTCCTTCCAAGCGATTTCTTCGACAGTACTCTTGTAAAATTTCTACTGGCTTCTGACTATCTCTCCAAAGATTGACACCAGATCTATGGTCACACAAAAATTGGGAAAAAGAAATAAAAAATAATTTCAAAATAAATCTTGATGGACATACAGCATGAGAAAAAAAATGTACATATTCTAAAGCATGAAATTATACTTTTTAAAATAAAACTATAAAAAAAGACTTACAACCAATAACTTTTAGGTAATCCACAAATAGCTCTATGTTTTGTAAGGTATCTATTTTCAAGATCGATAGTTGTTTCACCAATGGTATCATCAGTACTCAACAGGTCATAGTCTTTGACCCTGACGGTCAGATCCTTGTTGATTGGTATTAACGCCTTCAATTCAAATAGCCTACAGGAAAAACCATATATTTAAGTCCATTCTAAGTATGATCAATGGAGGCCTACTATACATATGTCCACTCCAAAAAAATTATTTCAATAACAAGGGTTTATGCTTTTTGATGAATATTTTTAATAAATATTTTTTTAAGTATTAATGTTTTAGTAAACATTATGTAAATTATGAACACATTTATATGCCGCAAATTGTACATTTCTAAAAAAAACTAAGCAAATGTGATTTAAAAAAAAAACAACCTGTGCTGAATTCTTGAAATATATTTATATTAACCTATAGAAAATTCTATGAACAACTATACAAATAATAACATTTTATAGCCTATAAAAAGTAGCATTTCAGCAAACTGAGATAACCTGCAACCTCAAACTGTTACATGAAAAAATTAGACTTAATCAGCTTTCCATGAGTAATCACTCTTTCAACAAATTACTATCTTCACTAAAATGTCATGGATTCAGGGTGAGTTCAAAGACCTTACAAACAATCCCCACCAAAGATTAAAAGACAAGGTGTAATGCTTTTCAAAATACATTTTTTAATACTTTTTCAACAATGGATTTTTAGTGAAGAAAAACCCACAACCCTTTATACACGAAGCTAATATGTACTGCTTCAACATGTCACATTTATACAATTTCAACATACCGCTGACTTAACCAGCAAACTGTCCACTCAGAATAAAGAGATTGGCCATGTTATACATACAGACCAGCAAGAAATTAAAATAATGGAGAAAAAAAAAACAGATTTGTTTCCTGGCCTCTGAAAGTTGCTTTATTCACCCCCCCCCCCCCCCCCACCATCCCATGGAGCTGCTAACCTGCAAAGTTTGTGGGACTTAACAGGACCCTGATTCACATACATTGTGGTTTTGTGTTATTTTAATACTACTTTGTATTTAATTATATGCTATAATAATTTCTATTGAGCAATTTAATGTAATAAACTGACGTCCAACTTTGAGTCTTGTTGTTAATTGTACAATTTATGCTATTGATTGAGAAGAAAATATAGGTTGTATTAACTCTATTCCCAGTAGACTAATGGCTTAGACCCGCCTACAGGTTCAATACTACTGCAATTATTATTACATTAACATGCTATGGTAGATAGTGATCTATGTTATCATTCTTACTATACACCATTTTTTTTGTTAATACAGTTCAGAAGATATATATTATCTTAGCACTGTTCACAACTAACACAACAACTTCTGATAATTCTTTCAACTTAATACAAATCTGTATCTCTTTAACACAAGATAAACCCAGTGATTTCTCAAAGCTACTTCAACACAAGAATAACAACAAATTGGGTACCAAAATAAGAAAAGTACTGAGAAAATCTTACTAGTAAGCAGCCTTTGCACTAGATCTACAACATGAAATTCATGAGAGCTATAAGTAAATTTGTTATGAAAGTACGTATTAATTTACTGAAATGTATTTAAAATAATTTACCTTCCAAAGCTTGGATTGATTGAGTTTGGCACATAATTATCTCTTGTATTCATCTTTGTTTTGCCTAGCTCTACTTCCACATATGGGTCAGCCTGAAAGTGAAAACAGCCATAAATTAAATCAGCCAATAAGACAGGTCAGTGTAATTTTAAATATAACGAAGATGAGCCAAAGGTTACCTACCAGACCATTGGGATCATTGGGCTGTAGATCAACAGCTTTGATGACATAAACTCTAACAATACATTCTTCAGGGTCACTGGGTGGTAGAGACTGAAAAATACGAGGTGGTAGCTGCTCCGCAGGGTCTTGGGGTAAAGGGTACACCCTGAAAGATCCCTAAAAATACAGGAATCAGAGAATTTAAAGGTTTTAGGAGAACTCCAACATAAAACACCATAACCAACTAACTGTAGAGTAAGTATAAATAAACAATAACATGTTAAACATTATAAAAAGTGAAAGGACTAACTTTGAACTCTCCAATAACATTATCATCCTCATCATCTTCATTTTTTCCTCTGGATAGTGGCAGTGTATGACAGAAATCATTAAATCCTTTGTAGATCTCACATTTTTCTAACTCAGATGGCAGAACCTGAAACATTGTTTTTACACATCTATTCTATGCTTACAAACGAAACATTTTTCTAGGGCATACTGTTCATTTAGAGTATCATTGTATTACTTTATTTCTTCGCATTGTTTATAATATCCATTTACAGTGTAAGATGTTGCAATCTTAACAATGAGGTGAGATTTCTTTAAAATTTTTAAAAGGCAACAAAATTCAGTTAATACAGGAAAATGTTTAAATTTAAAAGCAATGTTTTAAAAAGCTATTTATCAGTTCACAAAATAATTATCACAGCTGAAGATAAGAAAATCCAACTAAAATTTTATATTTTCTGTGTTTCCATATACTAGTTGTAATTGTGCTGACCTATCTAAATGAACTGAGGACTGTAGTGTGACCAATGTTTGTGTCCTAACGGATCAAGTGAATGCCAGCTTACCTCTAATGTGTCATAATTTAGTAGTCTATACTTCTTGCATTTCTCCAAATCATTTGTTGATGCATAATATTTGGACCACCAGTCAATCTCCATTAGGGTCAGTTCAGATTCCTGGAAAATTTTATTTTTAAATATTGGCATCATTAAATCTTAAGTAGGATAAAAGTACTAATTTAACTTATGAAATACAAATTCTATGCAACTCTATTTTAATGTAATTCTTACTTATTGATTTTAGTTCTTGTACATAATGTGCATAATTTAAAATGCATATGTGTTCATAATAGTCACAAATCATTACACATTTCATTGCTAGAATAGTTGTAAATATATTATAAAGTGCTAATAAGAAGATTCTAAAATCACATAACAATTTTTAAAAAATTGAACAAAAGGCAAAAGAAAAACCATAGCCACCATAACATGCAAGAGCTGGGGGAGGAAGGAAAAAAGATGGAATGTTCTAATCAATGTAAAATAAAACATTTAAAAAGTTTCAATATGAAAAATGAATCCAAAACAGGAGCTCTCAATTACAACAGTCAACAGGGTGCAATGTGCTCTAGACAAACCTCCATACTCCGTAATTCACGAAATCGTTTCCTAGCTAGTGCTCTCTCTCTTCTCAGTCTAATTGGTTTGGGCAATAAGAAAATAAATGTGTTCAAAATATATTCTTTCACCTCTCTTGCCTTTGGTAACTTTGGTATTTTCTTGCTTAGCTTTCCTGGTATTTTGAAACTAGGCAGCATTTTAGCTGAGTTATTGGTGTTGAGACTATCACTGGACAGAATCACTGGTGGTGGACTAAAGGGTTCTTCAACAACTACTAATTCATGCGACTTCCTTAGGGGCTAGTCAAATAAATTAAGCAATGAGTATAAAAAGAAAATAATCAGCAAGAGCCTTATCACTGTAAAAAAATCCTTAACACTACAGGAAGAATCCCTCAGACTAGGTAGTTATCAGTTGAATCAACTTTTTAATCAACAATTACAACCAGTTCCAGTAAAGGATAATATTTAGCAGTGTTTAAATGCGTTTAGCAGTAGACAACTCATTATGCTGCAAGATAACTATTCTCATCATATAGTCACACAAAACTTTAGGAAAAAAATATTATACAACGGCTGGAATTTTGTCTACGGTCATTTAAATTTAATAAAACACGCTGAAAAAAACAAAGACAAGGTATTCAATAAAATCACTAAAATATTAGGATGACGGTGGTTACACGTAACAATATTGTATTCTTAATAGATATAAATACATCATACATAAGGAGAGACATTCTAAAAGAAAATTAACAAGTTACAAAACATCAGGTTGTCAGAAGACACAGAAAATGTATATTATCTTATCAATGTAATTAAGTTTTAAAATATAGTTAAACTAACACTTATATTGAAGATAATAAAAGGCAACAATGGCCTAAAATATCACCATATAAAAACAAGCATCTTGTAAGCATAAATGTTTTTTCATAAGCAGGTATCTTGAAAATAAGAAAAATATAAAAGACTGCAACCCTTGCTAGATTTACCAAATATGCAAAGAATCCACAGATAAATTTACCCTGTGTAAATCTGTGAAACTAGATAACAATTTTAAGAATCCAGTCTAATGGTGGTTGGCAGCAATAAAAAACAATAACGTTATTAAACAAAAAGTAATGTTCGTAGCTTTAACTATTAGGTATTAATACAAAATGTACTTGTTTAATTTGAAAAGACCATCTGTGGCTGCTATGAAATTCATGTAGACATGTTAAAAATGAGCTTTTAAGTAATGAAGATACATCTATCTGTCTGTCTCTGTGTGTCTGTTAGTCAGTCAAAATGTCTATTTATTTAATTTATGAAATCGATCAATCTATCTATTTATTTATATATATAGATAGATAGATACAATTTGTGTTAGTAAGATAGTCTAAAAAGAAATCATCAACAAAGAGGATGAATCTGATAAAAAAGAATGAATAAGTGCAAGGCTTGTGATCAGGGTGTGCATGATTCAAACATTTAACAGCTACTAAAATTTTGTGAAAAAATGTTCATACCTAAATAAAAAAAAACAGACCAGTGAACATGGATAAAAATTTCATTAGGGTAGAATTTTTTATGTGGCTTGATGGGAGTAGTTATTTTTTTAAAAGAATTACCTTTTCTGAAATTTCTGTACCATCCGGCATTGTAATGACTGTATCACTGGTAGGTGACCCGCCGCCTGTAAGTGCTGTTGTCAAGGCTAAGTCTTGTGGTATGATTGTTGTTGGTATGAGTTCATTAGACCCGTTCGTGGCTGGAGGTAATTCTAGACAAATTAAAAAGTAAGACAATAACTAATCCAGTACAAAATTTAGTAGATGAAAATTTTAAAATGCACTGCAAATCTTTTATGTCTTAAAAAAAAAAATATTATAAGCTTTTAATATTTTTATAAAAATTATCACCATTAGCTACAGGGACCATTGGTTCAAGTGGGTCACATCGAAAATCTTCTAGAGACTTGAGCATGTGGACACCAACAGTTGGCTTGCGACCAAACTGTCTGTGGTCTTTCACTCTAATGCTCATTGGTGGCATATAAAGTTCTTCCCTGGGTAACATCTGAAAAAACAAAAAGATGATTAAACAAGAATAAAAATTCATCTGTTTGCTATTTTTTGTAACGGTGGTATTTCTCATTTTTAACATTCTAGCCAATTCAATGTTTTAAACTGTAGATGATCAATTCATAAAATGCTTAAAAATTAAATATTACATTTTTTTTTGTAAAATGTTAAACATTATTCGAAATATTTTATGCATCTATTGATTTTTTTCCTTGTTAAAATTTGTATTCTCAAAATTTAAGAGAAACAAAAAAAATATGTTGGGTTAAGTCAATTACCACATCAAAAAATAACAAATTTTCTGAAAAATTAGGATTGCGTCTAGTATCCTTGATGACTACAGAATCTTTGACATATCCACCACACTCAAATCTGGCACTAGGTGAAGTGACAGCAGAGAGTTGAAATTTTTTCATGTTTCTCACACCCCAGCATAAAACCTGGTTGGTTTGAAAAATACACTTAGTAAATGAAGAAAGATGAAATAAATTAATGAAAAAATACCCATATGAAGTGTGACTCAGAGCTACTAAACTAACAGATAATGATACAATTTACCATTTAAGATTTAAAAAGCAAAACCCAGCAAATAAATAAAAATCTACAAGTAAGCTGATCGTAACTACCTCAATTCCTGTTCGTTGCATAACTGGTCTTATTCCATTGGGTACAATATAAATGTTTCCTCGTTTAGGTGGTAGAAAAGGCAAGTCTTTTCCTGTTATCTATTCATGAGCAATACAGATCATAAATAATTAGTAAAACACTCTATTTTATTCAAAATAAGACAAGTTATTTCCATATGTATTCATTTAAAATTGTAACGTGATTATAATTATAGGAGGCTCAAAATTGAAACTGTTTAAACACCTGTGAAAGAAGTATTTTACAATTTTTATAATAATTAGAAGACAGATTTAATTGCAAGTTAAATTTAAGAATTTCTACAATAAACACATATTTAGTTAGTTTGGCAACAAACAAAAACAAGATTTCAAGAAGATAATTAAGTGCAATTCACAACTTCCCTTTTATCTGATGAATGATTTAGATTTTGAAAATTATAAGTGTGGCATGCAGAGTAAATTCAATTTAATAAGAATATAATAAACTAATTGACAACTAAAAATTCTCTGTGAAATTTGTAAATAATGAAGTGTTGATTTATGAACAGTTTGAAAAAGGACTAAAACAAGAATTTCAGAGTAAATGAAAGATAGATACAGGTTGGCTACCTTTTTTAAAAATTAAGACAACAAACCATGATTTACGAAGTGAGGAGTAATATACATAATTTTTTATAGTATAAATGTCTTATACTTTTATAATGAATTAAAAAAAACAACACCTAATATAATAAGTACATATTAATAATTTTTACAAAGAATTGAAATGTGCAATGAAAATTCTTGCAATATGAAAATGTGAGAGTGAACCATTTCCATTTGAGCAGTTACCTCTGGTCTCTCTTTTGTTACTGCTGGGTACTAACAGAGATGTAAAATAAAAACAGTATTGTTCACTTGACAGAAAGCCCAATTATTACATTTTGTGAAACTAAATCATAAAAATGAGTTTATACATTTGCACAGAGCTTAACAGTCATTGCAAAATAATTTTTTTTTAAAAGTAAATTTATTAGTATTTTTAAAAATTCACTTGAAAAATGCTAAACGTGCAGCGGTGCAGCTATATCATATTGATAATGACTTGAAATCATATATCCAACATTTTTCTTTCTTGATTTACAAGACGCTGATGATTTTACCATGTTTCACATACAAACAACTATAATGCTATCTGAGAAATATTGTGGTAAACGTCTACAAAACAAAACAAAACTCATCAAAGCGCGATTTAGCGCTGTGTTAGTAATATAAGTAGAAATTGTTACTGGTAAGAATGAAAGTAACTAGCAATGTCTATTGAAAAATACCTACATCAGAAGAAACATCAGAAATCTATTTGGAGAGTAGATTGAAATAGCTACAACATACTTATTTAAGAAGTACACATAGCAGAGAGCTTAATAATCACAGCAAAATAACTTTAAAATCCCAACAAAATAGTAAATTTATTTGTATTTTATTTTATTTCACTTGAAAAATGCTAAAGGTGCAATTATATCGCATTGATAATGACTTAAATCATATGTCCCACATCTTTCCTCCATGATTTACAAGATGTTATGATTTTAACATGTTTTACATACAAAAGACTATATTGTTATCTGAGAAATACTGTCATAAACATCTACAAAACAAAATAAAACACAAACTCATTAAAGCGCTATTTAGCGCTGGGTTAGTAATATAGGTGGAAATTGTTACTAATAAGAGTGAAAGTAACTAGAAATATATATAGAAAAATACCTTATCTACATCAGAAGAAACATCAGAAATCTATTTGGAGAGTAGATTGAAATAGCTACAAAAAACTTATTAAGAAGTACTCATAGCAGAGAGCCTAACGGTTACTGCAAAATAACTAATAAATTCCAACAAAAAAATGCTATGAAAGTTTTTTCTATAAAAGAAAATGTATTAGTATTTTATTATAATTCACTTAAAAATGCTATAGGTACAATTATATCACATTGATAAGGACTTGAATCATAAGATGCTAATGGTTTAAACAAGTTTTACTCAGAAAAAACTATATGCTATCTGAGAGATAATGTAGTACACATCTATTAAACAAAACAAAAACTCATCAAAACTCATTTAGTGCTGTGTTAGTAATACAAGTCAAACATGTTACTAGCAAGAGTGAACATAACTAGATATATCTTCTGAAAAATACCTCATCTATGTCATCAGGAATCTATTTGTAGAGAAGATTGAAATAGCTACAAAAGACTTATTAAAAAAGTACTTAATAAGCTGCCCTGAAATCAGACCATGTTTAGAACGTAATCAAATAAGTAATAAATGATAATTTAATAAATAAAATAAAAATGTGCAGTCTTTTACTGTTCAAGTTTTGTAACCATTCAGAAAATTTGAATGCATGTTGATGTTTGATTACTAAATAACAAGTCAAACAGTTTCTGAACAATGTGAACAATTATTAAAAGAATAAAAGAGAAACTGAACAGATATGTACCATGATAAGCTCAAATGCTGCCAAGAGTTCTCCTCCACTCTGACTGTGTCTGTTGATTTCATACCACTGTAACACTGGTGTTCGTGCATCAGATGGATCTAGTTTTACCATTGGCAAGGCAGTTGTTCTCCCCAAAAATTCTGGTTTACCCTGTTGAATGCAAAAATATTCAAATTTGAAAACTTATCCATTAAATATAGGATTGCATTGACCTTAGAATCTTACAGATTCTTCTTCTTCTTTGTTCTTAATTTTAGTGTTGGAAGAGATTCCCTTCAACACAATTAAGTGTATGTCTATTGGTTAAGTGCCATAAAGGCAGTTGACTCAGATTTCAGCCTGCTTTCCTTTTTGGATTTGCTTCCAGAGCCTTTTCCAACCAAGAACAAACTACAAGCAGTTGTTTGATTTTTGTTTCTCCTAGAAGAGTTGCTGTCCCCAGCTATCGAGCCTCATCTGTCAGAGGGTTCAAACTCTAGTCTTTTCCGTTTAGCACCCATGAGCCTGACCGACTTGACCACACCGATCCCTTACATTTTTATAAGTAGAACAACAGTTATTTATTATTTCCTCTTGTTGTATTCTATTCTAGACAGTAACCACTATATCTACGCTTGAATTTTTCCATCTGCTCTCTTTATCCTACTACACTAAACAATATTAGCCATATTTTAGCTAAATGCTGCAACAAAACATAAAAAAAAGTGAAAATAAATTCACACTAGCGCCTGAATTATGATCCAACAAAGAAAATAACCATAGCTAGAAAGTGTGATCTGAGGTTGAGAAAGCAGCACATATACTCACAAAGGTATCATGATCAAACAGTTCAATGTAAATCTCTGGTGGTGCCATCTCTAGTCCCTTAGGATCCCCATAAATCTCCACCTCCCCAAATATCAATGTCTGGTCCCAGGTTGGGCTCAATGTCTTAGCTTGCTTTTCTGTCACCATACTTTGTGTGATAAAACAGACTCTGGCAAACGGATCTTTTATAAAAGAAAATACAAAATGGTCACATGAATATTTGCAAATGAAGTTAGTTTTCCAGCTAAAAAAAAAAAACAAAACAATTTAAACCGCTGATGCAAACCTGAAAGTCCGGAATCATCAGCAGCAAGTAAATCTCTGGCTTGATATACATAAGCTCGAAGCTGGTACTTGTGTGGGGCTGTGTGAAACAATACAAATGGGTAACTAAGTCACTTGCATTCACTGTTTATGTTAGGGAAACAACATAAAATGGTAGCTACATGACTTGAGATTACTAGTTCTGTAAAGAGAAACACTACGTAACTCTATCACATGATATCAATGGTTATGATGTTAAGTGCAGAAATACAAAATTGTAAATGTATCACCCAAGAAAAAAAAATGACCAACTTTTAAAGGCAAGGAACATCCTTGGTGCAGCCATTGTTGCTAAATTAACCATTTCTTTTTCTTGTTCTGTACCCTGAAAGACATTTAAGGAACTTACATACTTTGTTAAAACAAATTTTAAAATTGTCGACTTTTGAACACACATTGTTGGTTTGCTTTAAAAAAAAACATTTTAAAAATTACTCTGGAAACAAGGTAAGTATATGACACTTAGAAGTTGATAAATCAATTGAAAATATTTATCATACAACATTTTAAAATATGAAAAAACAAATGTAAATTTAAAAAAATTACATAACATAAATCTTTAGTAAACATGAACAAGAAATTACACCAGAAGTGAACTGGAAATTACATATAAGAAGGTAAACCTGAAGAACATCCTTTTTAAATGTAGACGAACATCAAAAGGTGAAGCTAGTAATAAATAACAATATTACCAAAGTTGAAGTACCAGGTAGACATCGCAACCAATTCTTTCTTAAAGTAATGTATTTCATTTTTGCAACCTATTTGGATAAGATAGTAGTTATCTATAATTTGTGGCTCTGCACAATTTAATTTTGAACCACTAGTTGGTTTTGAGTTGTTAAGTTAGTCTTAAAGAAATTTTTGTGCGGATTTTAATAGTCGAAACTATTTAATAGCCTCAGAACAATGACCATATTACTGCAGACAGTCTGAAATTTAAGAGAAACTTAGGGATTAAAACTTGTATCTAGTGCAAAGTTATCATGAACTATTAACTTGCCAAGACCTATACATTTCTCAATTATGAGATGTCTCATAAAGTTGAAGAGTTTCTTGATAGTGGCAAAGAGGTGCATTCTGCTTCATTACTAAACACAACTGAAAGGAATATTCAAATGGAGAGTTATAAAGAAATCATGATTCTGTGTGAACATGGATGGGACAGGAAGCAACAGGCAGGATTACCTCATGTTGGACATTGAAGAAACATGTTCCATCAGAGCTGGTAGAGACCATCTTGCGATGCCAACGCCGTCGCCTGACAAGGTCCATGGTTCTCTCCTCAGCATGAAACTTCATGTTGAACAATGCAGAATATTCCCAGCCTTCCTGCTGTTTCTTTTCCTAATATCCAAATATTGAATACCAATGGATTCACGTTGTGTAGGTTACAATTTCTCTTACATTATTAATAATTAAAATTTTATGTTTTTTTTTAAATTTTCAATTAAAAATTTCCAAATTTGAATTAATCATCTGCTTTTTACAAATCCTCTTTATTTAAATTTGTGAAGAATGCACAATTTAGATAATGAATGATATTTTGTAATTAAAACTTTTTATTGGCAATACTAAACTTAATCAAACTTTATCTAAAGTTATCTAAACTTGCCAGCTTCTGTTTTGCATGAGCAACTTCTTTGACCAGTGTTCTGTGTCTGACCCAGCGCCGCCTACGGCATAAATGATAGGTCTTTTCAACAGGGCCATAACCCCCTACTGTTGCCTCCACACAATACTCCCATCCTTTAAAGTAAAAAATACACATATTAGCTCCTTTAAAGCTGTACACTATTATGTTCATACAAAAAAGAGTATTAACCTGAATCACTAGTTTTAATTTTACACACACTATAATGGTGACCTAATATTGAGTATTTTTGTCTTATTAATGAGTGAAAATGCCTAAAAAAAGTAACAAAAACATGACACCAACCATCTTCATCAACAGCTCTGTTCAAATCTGCCTGCCAGTCATCATCCCACTTCCAGCCACTGGGTAATGGAATTTTATTTCTTTCTTGTGCAGGATCACCTTTCTATTTTAAGTAACATTAGAAGTACAAATATAATAGCCAATAGCTCTTTTGAATACTTCACATATTAATTCTAAATAACACAATTTCATCATCATTATAATTTTATTATTGAATGTATTTTGAAGCACCAACCACATCTGTCCATGGTCTTGAGGCAGCAGCCCAAGCCCCGCCAGGAAGATTTCTAGACTGGTTTTCATAAGTATCCTCAAGAAATGTGTGGTGGCCAGCATCTTTATCATAGAGCATACTGCAATATTGAAGAAATAAATGAAAACATTTATAACATCATGTTAAACAATAACTGAAATGAGAATTAAATAAATGAAACATGATTTCTATTTTAATATTCATTGAGTCTTTATGACTATTGAAAACTAATAGGTAAACTAAGTTAAATTATCTTTTACTATCTGTGCATAAAACTAGCATAAGATAATAACTATTAATTAGAAAGTAATTTGAGGCATTGTGTTAATATTAGTTTAACATGGTGGTTTGGTTTGAATTACTATTAATTTCAGTTAATTTGATTTAATGTTGGGTTTAAAGTATGGGCGTTGAGATATTGTTACATTTGTTATATTACTAACCAGAATTGACTAAAACTTAATTCATAGTGTTCTGAAGTACATTGTTCTAACCTATATTTTCTTATGCAACCATTAATTTAAGTCATATAGATTGAATTAAAAAATGCTATTGATGTTATTGTAAAATTAGACTAAAATTAATTTTAATAACGCATCTCAATAATGCTCTATTTAAGCTAAGCAAAATACTAACTTTTGATAAACAAATAAGAATTTTGTTTGATACTTCTAGTGATATGATACTGACTAAACTAAACCTTAAAAAAAAAAGTCTTTTTCCTGAGAATACACCCTAGTCATAGCTCATCAAAGATTTTACATACCTGAGCTCAGGGCTGATGTACCAGTCCCCTTCCCATTTCCAGCCAGGTGGAGGGGTAAATTCATTTTTATTCAGCTCAATCTTTAAACAAATAACACAAATGTTAGATAATTTATTTTTAATGTTGTTTGAAATAATTATACTAATACCAAAATGCAGCTTCTATGAAGAAAAAAATTGAGAAAAAATGTACCAAATTTGAGCATATTGCTAACGTACCTTTCCTTCACTATCTGACCATTTAGGTCTAGACATGGTTGGTCCTTTATTTGTCCAGGCACCAAGAATATTCACCTGGTTTTCATACTGTTGAAATGGTTTTATAAATAAAATAAAGCAGTACATCCTATAGATTTTTAATATAAATGTTTTTTTTTAAAATACAGATAAATGCAAAATATTTTTTGGAAACTATTTCTCAGTCTATGAAACCATTTAGGCATAACTATGAAAGGGTGATCTGTCTGAATTTCATAAACTGAGAAAATGTACAACAGAAACCTCTGTCAGCAACATAACATTATATAAACTAAATGATAACTCTGTCTGATTCATTAGAATGAAGAGCTACCTTCCATTTCAGACACTTTTGTAAGAATGTTAGTGTTTTTCTAGTAACCGTGACAATTTTATGTAATTAACATTGTGATCTATGCCTAGTGACAGAAAGTATGGGACTTCCAAGTATAAAGATGCAAGCTTTGCATCTATCATTTTACTGAAGGTAAAAGACTGAAATAAAAACCATCTAAACAACAGTGTCTTGTTGATGGTAAAGTTATTCAATTAGCCAGCTTTCTCCTCACCACTACAGAAACATTCCTCGGGCCAAAAAGGCAAGCAGATGAGAAGGCAGGCCATCCTTAGCTAGCTGAAGCTTATCAGGCAAGAAAACTGATATTTCGTGTGAGAATACTGTTTTCCAGTTATTTTCCACAATAATTAGATTTTAAGGAATTTTGCACACACACACACTCCTGGCTGTAGGGAACCATAGTATTAACCCAAATCTTTCTAGTATATAAATTCTGCTTCTTTCTCAAAATCTTAGCAACTTTTTCAATCAAGTTTCACAAGCAAACCAGAAAGATTAATGATGCAAATGCTTTATTCTATATCCCCCTAAAAAGCCTTGCAGTATTGATGTTGTGAGCTTAGGCTAGTTCCACGGTTCAGGCCGTTTTTGTATTGCCCTTAGTTACCATTACACACATCGTGTCACACCTACATTTCCTTTGAAGTAGACCACCTTGGCCCTATTGTCACCAAATTTATCTGTGGGACTAATAGTCTATGTTTAAAGTTTTAACTATCTACTGAGTGTATGTTATTTTTTGAAAAATTCTAGATGTTGCAAGCAATGTATTCACTCCACTCTTATGATACAACTATAGTCATCCATTGTTCTTACAGTTTCAGCATAGACAGCAAGTTCTCCTTCACTCTGCATCTTATGCCAAGCTTGTTCTTGTACTTGCATCCCCAGCCAAAGTTTGATCCTTAGGACCGCTGGTAATTCAGTTTTCTTATCTTTGTCTTTCACTTGTGGGTACTGTCAAATAGAAATTAAACATGAGCTAAGTGCCACTGTGTTTCACACAATTAAAGTAGAAAATACCCTTTCAGGCCTGCTGGTCTAAGGGCTGATGAGGTAGAGTTCATCAATTTCTCTGATTTTGTATTATATGTGATTGTGTTATCTGCTGACTTACCTTTACCTGATAAGAGTTATTAAAAATTACAAACTCAACCACTATCCACAATGTCCCAAATTTTACTAGTGGGTACAGGCATATAGAAATTTAACATGAGCTTAGTGCTATGTTTTATTTATAAAAATGTTGTATTTCTATGATTCATTCACAAATTGAATGTAAATTCCGATGTAAATTTAATAAGTTCTTATATAAGCATAGTATGAACAAGATGATAAAATGACTAAAAATGAATAAAGACTTGATCTGAGATAACAGGTGTCCTGTAGTTTTTTTTTACAGCCATTACAAAACCCCACACTATACATTTACTTGAATGAAATAGTGTTCTCTACCTTCAAGGGTAGTGTGATGAGTTTACCACAGTGTTTTCCTCTCAGATTCTCATTGTCATTGTAGAGCAGGTCATATGCTGGGATCCGGTAGTAGGCAATTCTCTTCTGTCCACTAATCATCCATATGATCACATCAGGCATGCTGTTCTGTGGCTGGAATAAGCAAACACTATTTATTTTACACATGCACATATAACTAGCAACTTAAAAAATAACATGAAGTACTAACATGTACAATATTATTTAAATACTACATCTTAATTAAGTGCTGCAAACAAAGTTTTTGTAGCAGAAGAACAAAAAAATTTAAAAAATATCTTTTAGAGTAGTGACATTAAATAGTTGTACCTCTACAGCAGTGTTCTTCAAAATCTGTAGCAAATTTTCAACTTCAGATAAAGCCTCATCCAAATCTGTGGCATTCTCTCTAAGACTCTTTGCAGATTTTTTTACAGATTTGAGTGTCTCTTTACGGAAATTTGCAGTCAATTTGTCCAGTTCATTGCACACATGTTGGCCATCTTTTGGTGGTGAAAACTGACTACTGTTAAAATACAATACAGAAAAGCTTTTAAAACAACATCATGTATCATCAAGTTGAGTAATCCTTCTTCCCATTGAGATATATACACAATTAAGATAAAGCTTGTCATTTAAATCATTTAGACTTACCCACAATCCTCTATAAGTTGGTCCAACATTGATATCAAAAGCTGAGCCAACTCTGGTATAGGGAGTTTGGCTTTAATTCCAATCCGAACTCTTTCCAAGTTGGAGGTCTACAAACAAGAAAAGAAACATCATACAATAAATTAAGAAGGCCTACAATATGTAAAGTAAAGCTTACAAAAGTATACATTACTAGATTAGTAATTTTGTTCCAAACAGACCATATTTGTAGGTGATGTAAAAGAAAATTCATCAGATAGTAAAATAACAATCCTCAGTGAAAAAAAAAATGTTTCCCTCATGAATTACTTACCAGTCTTTCAATAGTATTTAACAGTATGTTCAAGGATTCTAATCTGAATGAAATGTCCTCCCAGGAACAGTCCACTACAACACAAGGTTTTGTATTCCCCCAGGGAAGAAAATAGTAATGGCATCCATCAAAGACAGGATTTGTGGGTTGGGTGGTGGATGCTGAAGGTGGGATGTTCTCATCTAGCTTGTTGCCATAATTACCTACAATACACAAACAAAATGGCGATGTAACTTAACTTAGTAAAAATAAATATTAACATCAATTGAAAACTAATGTGATACTAAAAAAATGCTAGAGAAAAAGTTATCAAGTATTACCAATGCTAATTTCAAACTCAACTGGAGCATCAACATGGGCAGAGCTGATCATGCCAGCTGAAAGAAATGCTGCATGGACACGATATTTTCTCCTTCGCATGAATTTCTGGCAAATTTTTTAAATAAAAAAAATTAATAATTCCATCCATAAAAAAAAAGTACAAGTGAACAAAAATAGATCAAATGTTTTTATGTTGTAATTATTTAGGTATTTGAAATAAAGAAGTAAACCTCTCTTTTTACTGAATGAAACATAATTAGCTATAATTATATCTGCAGCCTGATGTTTCTATGAAGCAGTATAAGCACTCTCACATTTGACACCATGAAACTGGTACCTGTATTTTCACTGTCATAGTGACACCCTCCATGTATTCTCACTGTCATAGTGACATCATGACACTGCTCATGTATTCTCACTCTGTCATAGTGACACCATGACACTGTACATGTATTCTCACTCTGTCATAGTGACACCATGACACTGTACATGTATTCTCACTCTGTCATAGTGACACCATGACACTGTACATGTATTCTCACTCTGTCATAATGACACCATGACACTGTACATGTATTCTCACTCTGTCACAATGACACTATGAAACTGTACCTGTACTCTCAGTCTGTCATCAGCTGAGATGTCTTCAACTGGAACATCTGGCAGTTCACCTAAATTTGTTACAAGCTCAACTAGTGCCCGGCCTCTGTAAGCTACACCTTCGCCCTAGATGTGGAGATGTGTTTATATTTTATCATAAAGCCACAAAAAGTCAAACAAGTACATCAACAGCATCAATTGGAAACAAATGTGTTTGTCTTTGTATCATTGTGTCTATCTTTAAGTAGTCTGTGCATCAACATTAGCAATTTGGTACATACAAGGACAACCATAAAAGTTATTAGTTTTTACCTTTCCTAGGTTGAGATCTTCATAGTCATTAGGTAGATCTGAATACTCTCTTGTGGAACCATAGAAGTTAATGTAGCAAGGACCAAATGTTGGTAAATAGCCTGCAGATTTTAAATTTCTGAATTAAAGAGCCATTAAGTATGCTTTCCATGTTTGAATGCTATCATGCTATCAGTTTTTCAGCTAGTTATTAATTTTTATTGATGTCATTTAAACATGTATTACTTACATTTTTTTTTCGTCTTTTAAAAACTTCGTGTAATATTTTTCACAGTTTCTTACAATAAATTATCATCAAATACATGAAGTGAAATTAAGTGAAGTTATCTGTTAGTTTAATAAATAACCTTCCCATTCTTGATATATAAGACTTTTTTACTTAAATGAATTTTTTAGCCTATAACAGATAGCATGCTATATACAATAAGAGTAAAGATCTCATGTAACATTTAAACCAAGTTATAAAAATATAAAAAGAATGTATAGAAAAAATTCCAATAAAATAAATTGTAACAATCTCAAAAAAATACAATAACTTTTTAAAAATAAAAGGAGATTTATTAAAACAATTTAAAGTAAAAATTGCTGCGTCTTCCTACATAGAAGCTTACTAGCTAGAAACTGTTATTTTCTTGTTAGCAGTAAAGCTTTAGCTTAATGTGACATTTTAAAAAATGTAATTATTAATAGTGCAAAAAAATATCTCTAATATAAACAAAAAAGTAGGAGCATAGTTTTTTTTTTGTTTTACATAATTGCATCTAACGAGTTGGGCTCTATAAGAGTATTGTGAAGATTGCAATAATTTTCAAAAATATGTTTTAAACATGATCATGGGGATTTTTTGGTGTCACTGGTATACATTCAATACATTTGTTTTTAAGTAACTAGATAATGTTTGAGAAATAAATTTGATCAAATAGTTCCGAAACACAAAGAAGTTTATGATAATAATTAATCATACACATATTGTTTTTGATATATTTTATATTCCAACACCAAACAATATGGTGCCTTAAAACAAATGCCACAAATCAAAATATTATCAAGAGCAAGTAGAGTGCAAAGATGATGGTAACGTTGATTACATAGATTACACTTTTCTGCATTATCAAATTGTTTTTTGAATATGAGTTTAAAAAAAAAAAATTAACCTTTAATTTTAATGTTTTAAAACAATTTTTATGGCATCACAGGAGACAAGATGGACAAGAACACATTTTTAGCTCACATCAGCGATAAAATAAAAAAAAATCTGCTTCTTTCAGCCAACCCGTCAGATGCTATGTAAGTATATCTCTTTATCAAATTTATTTTAAGCTTCCAATCTTTTACTTTACATCAACAAACCTAAAACAATAAGTAAGCTACTGAAGTTATTTGAGCAATATATCAATACCCATACCACACAGTGCACCATAAATTATCTAATGTGATATATGAAGTACTGAAGACTAGTAAACCATCTACCAGTCAAATATTGCAGATTTAGTGTCAATGTGTCAGTAAAAGTCAACAAGAATGTCAAAGCTGCATGTATAGCACTTTTTAGTTATGCATCTACAACTAGTTCCCTGCTAAAAATAATTAATGATATAAATGAGCAATAAAAAAAAGAAAAAAAAAGTAACTGTAATAGGACTGGAATGCATAGGAAAAAAATGCTTTTGTATAGAGCAAATATAGACTTTTATAAATTATGCGTCAAACCTGATTAAAACAGTAAAAGAAATTACCATTTTAAAGCATGCCTTGACATAATTGTATGCATCCATTCCAATGACCAATCCAAGTTTTAAACTAAACACAAAAGCATGTCAAACTAGAACCCAAATCAAACATTAGTAAATAAGATTATGATTAGAATGTTGAAGAAATTTTTGTCTTTGTTAGTCACCCTGTTCTCCACTGGACGATATCAGACTGATGGGAAGGAACACAGTTCCTACAATATCGTCCTGGTTCAGTCGATCCCTGCGTACAGAACAAACGAGACATGGAGATGGGGGAATGAGTCAGTGTACACATAACATAGTGAACACAGCCATTGGTGAAACTCTGTGCTTGACAAATGCAGCACAAAATATTTTCGTTTTATCTAGCTATTCTTGAGGTAACTGTCAAATGGCAGGCACATTCAAAAATACAATACGAATAATGGAAATCTTTGAACTAAGATCAAAGCGCAAGTGATTTAAACATTTAATAGTTATTTATATACTACTGATTTTTTCCTGCACTAAATGTGGTTGTAGTTTTTTTAATTTTCATTGTTTATAAAATATGTTTGTTTCATTTTTTTGTGAAATTTTTCATTCCAATATAAAAATTGTTAAGCATCTATCAATTAGAACCTAGACACTCTTGGAACAAACTATACAGATAGCAGTCCTATTGTGTAGCATACTCAGGATGCTGGGTGTTGTCATAACATTGTACATCCTAGTTTAGGGGAAATATGCCATTTTTTTCCAAATTTTCAATTTAATATATTATGTTTCTTTAAAATCTTTAACCATCTGTTGACCAAAGTATTAACACACATTAAAAATGTTTTAAAAATTATTTTGGTTGTCAAAGAAACCATAATTAATATCTTATGATCTACCATTTTGAATTATCTGTCAATTTTCAAACCCATGAAGCTTTTTTAAAATCTTAAGTTACATTTCAAGTAAAATAACAAAAGAAAGGAAAAATTAAGAATGACCTCATATATTTTCAAGTATAGATCATAGTGAAGGAAAGATGCAATATTCCAAAAGAGGAAATTTTCAGCTATCAAGCAATACCAAATATGTTTAGTGAGGGTAATTTGGATACTGAAACCATATTGTAATAAAAATAAGTTTTAATATGCTGAAAAAGTTAGGGAAATGCTTTTAAAACCATTTATTTTAAAAGTCCTTTTACATTTTTTCCATTATGATTCACATTTTTTTTTTCATTTTTTTTTTACTTGCACATTTCTCCTTAATACAAACTTATTTGTATATTGCATGCTATCATGTATTTCTACATCCTTTCAATCCATCTAGATCAGCACATGGGATTTCTCAACAATAATGACATGCAAATTCACCGACATAATTTAAACTCTATGATTCATCTGTCTAATAAGTGATACAATATTTTCTACAGACATTATTAATGTTGTTTTAACATTTGTATACCATGCAAGGCTGCAGCAATACTAGTACAAAAATGACACACTAATGCTGTGTGGAAGAACCAACAAAGGGAGATCAGCAAGAACCAAAAACCTTAGTATCAACAGATTACATGGGTACATTACTGTACCATAGGATGATTAGTGGGGAATACACGCCTTTTGTACAAGCACTATACAAATAAGGCTAGTGCTGACAAACCATTTTCCCCACAAGAAGAGATGGAGGTTATAAGTAAATAGGCTGTTGAATTGGTATCATTCTTGTTGAATCTATCCCTAAAGAGAAGATAAAACTGATAAAAATCACCTAATTTATAAATATATTTGAATTTTATATTTTAAATATATTCCTTTTGTTTTTATAGTCAGTAACTTTGACTATGATAGAAACTATGAATAGATTACATATTCACACAAAAAAGAATAAGCATGATTATCATGACAACTGTAAAAATGATAGAAATCTTTAATGAAAATTCCTCTGTAAGAAAATGCCCCTCAGTGTTTTTTAAAAAAAATTTCATTTTATATGCATCAATATTATTTTAAAATGTGTCTTTTTCAATAATATATGTGTTAATCAAGACTAACTCAATTGATGAAGTTATAAGTTATATGTTTGTCTTATTCAATGATGAAAATATAATAATGCACAAACTCTTTGTTAGACAGGCACACAGATATACAGCTATGAATGAGAATACTGGAAAAAAATAATTGAATTAAGTTAATTATTTACAATTAACAGACTATAAAGCAGTCGATGAATCATGATATGCTGGCATAACCCAAATAACATGAGATTAAATGTCAATCAAGGGACATAAACCAAATAGAACCCTAGTTCCTTGCTTATCTTTATTCTAACATCAAAGAGTAGTGTGTGGGAAAACAGCAGTTTTTATTGAGGTAGAATCATGGACCTAATTGGTGACATTTACCATTTGATTAAATTTGTTACTTACAATCTCAATGAAAACCCTACTTCTGGTTACAAATAGTAAGGTTTTTACAAATTATAACAACACTAGTGCCACCTTTTTTTTCACTGAAACAAAACAGTTTGTAAAGAAAATTTTTTATCAGGGGCAGAATGTATCATAAGCAAATACTATTATTTGCACAACTAGGTTATTTTAATCGCATGTTTTAGTAATTTTGTGTGTTAAATGACTAGAGTGTTGGAGATAGGATCACTAGCAGTTAAAAGTAGAGTGCCAATAATGGTACATGAAAACAAAGTTAATGGGTATGTTTTTTTTTCTTCAAAACTTATGCAATTAACTTGTGCAGGGAATATGTGATAGTTGTCATCCAAATTAATACTACCAATAGGAGATGATTTATGAAAAAGTAATTCCATCAGACCAGGAGTAAAATTCTGGAACACTAACAACTCAGCTGCAATGTTAAAACTTCCTTTAAAGGCCTATACATTGCAAAACCTTACATTACACTGTGTAAGATGGTTATTATAAAAAAAAACTTGCTTTTATGTTAGTTTACAACATGAACAATTAAAGAAAACCAGCTTTATGAAACATAAGAAAAAATAAATGTCACCTACCAATCTCTTATCTGGAACTTCATTCTTTCACACATAGATGGGAACTGAGAATATTACAATATTAGTATTTCAGTATTATGTTGTTAAAATGATAATTGTATAACTGCAATATTTTTTCATCATATTTTTCGCTAAATAATAAATTTATACCATTTTACATGACATTTCAAGATATATAAACATGTACATGGCTCTAAATTTTGTTTTTCTATTTCAAATCTCTAATGTTTCTTTTATGCTTTAAATATTAACTCCAATGACCAAACATTATTCTTCTATTCTACATTCTTTATGACTAATAGTCCTTTTGTAAAAAAAAAAAAACAACGTTGTAACAAATAATAAGTACCTGTAGCCCTAACTTGAGATCCTGGTTCCACTCTGGATGATCATTAGCATACATTATTTTCGACTTTACCTAAGATAAAATCAAACAAAAATAAATAACATAGGCCTAATCACTACATGGTGAAATTATTTTCTTTAAACAATTATGTCCATCCACATAAAAAATCTTACAAACCTCCTTGCCAGCAAAACCAAAAATAAAGAATGGATCAACCAGCTCTTTCTGTTCTTCTCCAATACGCAATACTTTTTTCACTCCCTCCAGGAATGCAGAGTCCACTGAAATAAAATTTTTAAAGATCATTAAGATGATGAGGAAGCAAAAGAAAATGACCTTAAGGATAAGAAGTAAGGTAGTTGTTTTAAAGATACTTTGGTATGAGTTTTACAAGGTGAAGTTCTACTTACTTCTAGGGATGTCTTCAGCATGATAAAGACGCAAGAGAAATGTAGCTGGTCGTAGCTGTACACCAGCTGGACGAAGCAGATTGCTGAAAGAGGGTAATTAAACATTTTGATACTAAATATTTGATGAAAAACTGCATTAAAAGTTTAAAGTTAATTCAACATTGTAAATTTTTTTTTTTTTAAATTATTTACTTTATCATGCTATTAGCACCATTAATAATGAGCTATTTCCTATATAGTCTAAATATGCAGAAACACAAATTTATCATGTAGATTATAGGCTCAGAAAATTTTTACCTCTCAATATCTTCATCTTCATCATTTTGCTTAGCTGCCATGTTCTATGAAATGACAATGTAAATAAATAAATAAATAACTTTTTAAAAAATGAGAGAGAGAGAGAGAGAGAGAGAGAGAGAGAGAGAGAGAGAGAGAGAGAGAGAGAGAGAGAGAGAGAAAGTGAGAGCAAGATAAAAAATTTTTTCATTTTATAATAATTATAATTCCAAATGTAGTTTCATGAAATTGACAGAAAGACCAATCCAACTAACCGGTGAAACATCCCCAGGTCCCATAACACAGGCACTGATCTTAAGATATCCCTTAGCTCCTGCTGTCGCATCTTCAGGGTCACTGAGCAACACCCATTTATTGACAAGAGAATGGCTGGGTTCATCATAGATCAGTCCAACATCACACTAGGTATGGTTTGATTGTAATAGTAAATGTATTAGTTGTGAAGTGGAAAGTTGGTGGTTCAAGTTAGAAATATAGCATTGTGCAATGAGTCAACAATGTGTTCACACTTAGTAGAAATTGTATAAGCATACTAAACAAATTAACCTACTTACTTTAAAAGATCCAACAAGTGCATCTGATCTTAATGTCCTAGAATTATATACCTAAATAACAGGGAAAAAATTAACAAGTGAGAGATAGCAAAAAATTCAACCATTAATAGAAATTTAAAATTGCTAGAGTACACACACACATGCATGTTTTTACTCAAGTTTGTTTGAATATATGGACATTCCTAGTTCACATGACCTATTCATGGGTTGCAGAATGCAGTCAATATTTAGACTACTACCACCACTCAGCTAATTAATTGTCCTGTAGCACAAATGGCTCACACTTTAGGGAGGGTCTGGCTGCATAGTGTGTGAATGGGATGGAGAAAATGTGACAAATGTCAGTTTAGTTGTAGGTTTGGGTCCATTATTTATCCCTGATATATATCCTTTGCTTTAATACAGAGCAATTAAGTAAAGTTCTCGAAGTCAATGTAACAAGCAGCACCAAAATAATATCAGCAGAGGAAGCCATTGAAGCAATGGAAAAATTCACTTATCGTGGCAGTATCGTTGATAAGTGAGGCAATAAAAATTGTTTGGGTTCGGGAGATTTTAGTATTGGAATAAAAAATGAGTCAAAGAGGTGGAGACACGAAGAATACCTGCCAAAAATAAAAACAAAATACATTTACAAATTCATGTCTCAAATATCCTTTGAATCATCAGGCCTAACACCATCAGAAATGAAGTACAAAGGCAACGGACAAATCAACTGCTAGCTGGAAAAGAGATCCTCCAGAGAAAATAGAGATTGATTGGCCACACACTTGGGAAGCTTGTATCCAGCAGAACAAGACAGGTCATCACATAGAATCAACAGGGCCAAAGAAAAAGTGGCAGATCAAGGAAGACCTGGAGACAAGACCTACAAGAAGAAATAAATTATTGGATACACCTGGGGACAGTTAGAGAGAATAGCCGAGATAGAGATGCTCTTGTCGACAGTCTATGTCCCAGAAGGGGCAATAGGCTAATCTAACCTAACCTAATTCTCTGTATTTGTAAATTTTATACACATAGTATACATATTCAGCATTTATTGTAATTTTAACCAATCAGCTCATTATGCAGATATTGACATTTTGTCTCAGAATCATGAACACTTGCAAGGATTGGATTGACTTAGGGAGAAAATGTAGGTCACTAACATGCTTTGAGATGCCACAAAAGCTAAAACACCACTCAACTACTTAATTGTTCTGTAGCCCAACTGGCTTACATTTTTGTTTCGACTGGTATTAATCTCTAAGCACTGAATGAAATCTGCATATATTAGTTGGTGCATTTACCATGTACATGTGAACTGCAAATCCTTTTTCTTTTAATGTTTCTAGATAATGTTATAAGAATACACACTTTATTTCAATGGGCACCTAATAGAGAATTAGAGTAAAGTACCACTGTTTTAGAGTTACCACTATGATTTTACAACAGCACTTTTTGAAATAATTCTTGATTTACTCTCTCAGTTGTTGATCTATTAATGTGTTTAAATGCTATTTTGTTAAAGTCGTTTAGATGTTTGTTACTAGCGGCCAATGTGAAAAAAAATGCCACATTGCCTACTATTGCAATCATTAAAAAGATAAAGCTTTATTCTAATTATTATTGATTTAACGTTAGAGTACTTCATGTTTTTAATACTAGTATTAACATAAACAGACACTAAATTTCTGGTATAGAACAAGGCAAAACTAAAAAATAATTAATACATACAGCAAAATCAATAATTTCATCAATTAATTCAGATGGTGGCAGGTGGAAGTTGAAGAAGAAAGATTCATCCCACCATGGGCTGGTGGTAGATTTCTTAATACGGGTCTGTTTGATCTGGTTCATGACTGACACTCTGACCACAGGTTGAAGGTTGGATCCAGCTAGCTGTCTGGCTTGTACAACTTTTATTCTGATCTAGAAAAAAAAATGATAACATAATAATACTTTTATAGCTCTTTTATTAAATATGTAAAGCAAAGATATTTGCTTTAAAACCTGATCAGTAGTAACTTGGGATCTTAAGTGACCATTATCAGCACTTTATTAACATTTGTAGTGTGAGATCATCAGCTAACCCCAGTCACCTGCCTGATTAAGTCACATTTATTACATCATCCCCACTTTTGTTACTGAACACTTTAATCTTAAAAGTAATGTTGTTTCACTTATTTAGTTAAAATTTAAAAAAAAATAGACATTCATACAATATTGCATTGTCATTGGTAGGTTATTTTGTTTAGTGATGGGTAAAAATTGAGTTTCAAAATTGACCGCAAAGCCACCCACGTACAGACAGATAGATAGAGATTCATTGTGATCTAAGAAAAAGCTTGTAGAAAGAACAATATTAAGAAAACTGAATGTTTATTATAGCTTTAGTCCAATGTTGTGTCAATGAGTATGCCTCTACAGTTTTTTCCTCATGTATGTTATGTAAAACATTGCACAGTAAGCCCAAAGAACCATGACATTTTCGACATGGAACATTGACCCAAATAAAACATGCACTGACATTCAATGTTTCCATTAGGCTTGTCAGTTCAAGCATAGTAGGCCAACATATTAAGGTTACTAGGCTATTAGACTAAATAAGTGTAATTTGTTTTCCTATAAGAACAATTAGCAAAGACTTTTTCTATACATGCTGGTGAAGCATTTAGGCCACCACATGCAGCATGTATTTATGTAACAAGTGAAAAATACTAATCCTGCTTTTCCAATCACAACAACAACCTTTCATACTTGCAGTCTTTTTCCTCGCCCAGCGCAACTGATCACTAGCCTAATTTCAAAAGCCACGCTTAACTTTCTTATCTTCCATAACAATAACACAATCCTCATTTGTTTCTCTTTCCATAGTTTTCAACAGCATATTTATTATAACCCTGTTGGCTGGGGAATACTTTCAATTTTTTTTTGGTATATATGAGTATGTATAAGTGTGCTCATTTTAGTCAAAGTGCCACCAATCACACCAGAAGTCATGACTATTGTTTTTGCCTACAGGGTGGCTAGAAACCAAAAGCTTTGTCTTTAAACTGAAGAGTTGGATCATTTGCCATGTTTACTGTTACCATGTACATTTCAGTTATTCACTTCATGTTCACTGGGTCAGAAATGGCCCATGTGGAGTCTTCTTTGGAAAAAGATCATTAAAAAAAAAACCAAGAAGAATCTTGAAAAACTCAAGAGAGATCTCATCATTATGAAGCATAAGCTGGCTAATCACTCCAATCTAAGGAAACAGGACCAGGAAGCTTTGGGTCTATCAGACATCCCAGATCAAATAAAAGAGCTGGATGACATATACAGGGCTTACAATTCAAGGCTTTGTTACATCCAAATAATGTACTTTGGGGTCGTGCATAAATGACGTCACATTCGTAGAGGAGAGGGGAGGTCCGTAATTTTGTGACGGTGTGTGATGAGGGGGAGGGGGGTAGATGGTGTGACGTCATTTTTTTTCCATTATAAAAAAGCAATGTTAGAAAACGAGTTTTAGCAGGAATTTCTTTTAGCAGGAATTTCGCGTTTTAGAAAACGGTTTTAATAAATTGTAGTAGGAATTGATCAAAATACTCTATGTTGACAGAATTCTGACAAGATTTTGGAAAAATATCGATGTTTTAAGAAAAATTCAACAGCAATTTTGAGGGGGGGGGGGGGCGTCTGACTTTTTGTGACGACGTGTGACGGAGGGGAGGGGGGGAGGTAAAAATCGTTTTAAAAAGCGTGACGTCATTTATCCATAAAAATATGGTGTATTCAGGACACTTATTTCTTGTCATGCAGAAGATGAGAAGCTATAAATTTTTTTTTATTTTCGTACATCAGAAAAAAAAATTCAAGCTTCAGTAAATTAATTATTTTTAGCTTCGTAAGTTATCCTCCCACCTTCCCCAGCCCCTCACTCTCCCCTAGTATCGCACCAGCTGTTGAATGTGTCGTCATGAAGTGCCTGCATCACAACGTTAACTGCTCTACAGTGCTAGGAGCCACTGTGTAACAGGGTAACAGGTGTCAGCACTGTGTCGGGTTTGCGCCGGATCAAAACAAATTATCCCCGTTGGTTTCATGCAACTATGTGACTGTTAGGCGGTGGACACGCAATTAATGAGCTGATGGATCTGAGCGATAGAGTAGCATCAAGTAAAGCCATGCAGTCTACCGGTCAAATGTTGGCTGTTTTTTTTTAGAGAAATGACGGAGAGAGAGAGATAGAGAGGGTGGGTAGGGGGTGGTCGAAAATCAAGAAAGAAAGAAAAAGTATCGGAAATGACGCATTCGTATGACTGATTCGTTTTATTATTTATTTGTCGGTAGTTGCTGATATTGGGAGGTGTCGAACTTTCGACCGCAAACCGTTCGGTTGTCAGATGAACAATTTAGACTATAATTTAAGACTCGTTTATAACGTTTAATTTATTTATCTTTTCTTAAGTTATATTAAAATAAAAGTTTGTCAAGTCCTACATCTAGGCGTCAATGTGTTTTTATGCCCGTAGAGTTACTGTTATAAAGTCCGGATACCGTCCATTGTTTGCTTGCTACAGTGTTCATATACGAATCGTATGTATTGTATGCAATATATCTGACCTAGTATCATGTAATTACAACGGTGCTTTATAACGTAATTTGACTTAATCTATAACAACTTAGATGACTCAGGGTAAAATAAAATTGATGGTATTAACCGTTCGCTCGTGAAAAATGAATAACATTCTTAAGGAAAAAAACAAACATTTATAATCGTAGCCAACTTTATCATGACATAGGACTATCGTCTATAGACACCGATTCATTAAATGCCTAAGTTGGCATCGATAGTTGTGGGCATTAGGCTAGGCCGGCTAGGCCTATACTAATACTGTAAGGTAACATCAGTACACAATACAAAAACTAATGAGGCCAATTTATTAATAGCATGTTATAACTTAATCCATCCTATCAGTTTAGAGACGCAGAAATTGTCAATCGATACAACAGTAGCCTTCATGTAATAAGATGACAGACACTCGCTATATTTACTCCAGTCGTAGGACTGTAAAAGTTGAATTATTGGCTCCACGAGACATGACCAAATCATATCAAACAGCTTAGGAAACTCAAGTTTTTTTTCCAAACGGGTGAGAAAAGGTGCCAAGTGCATTTAGAAGAAAAAAAAACTAATTATTTACAGGGTTTCTTTCAGACATCTTTCTCTCGGTAAAAGCTCAATTCCCCCCCCCCCTCCACCCCCTTGATATTATTAGCTTACAAACTCATAAGCGCTATAATAACGTTCCAACATAGAGTCAATCGCATTGTACCATTAGAGTGGAGTGAAAATTAACATCAGGGCAGAGGGGACGACCATAGTAGTATGAAAATGTCTACAAAACAGACCTGGTCGAAATCTTTGGGGGAGGGGCTCTCCTAAAAGTAATCAAATATGAGACAGTAAATACTACCGAAAACAGTAAACAACTGATCGGATATACCAGCCTTTGGTGTTGGTGTTACCTGTATAAAGTAGGCATCTCAAAAGTGTATCATTTAGTCAAGACTTTAGCAGTCCATTTATAAAAATTACAATTGAATGGTATTGTGCAACAATACAATTGATAATAAAACCACACAGTTTATCCCTTTTGTAAAACGCTATCGATTAATTTGATTAGAATTCGTGAAACCACTTTTTAACTAATGCAAAAGCTTAGGCGTCATTGCTAACAGCTTGTGTTTGACAAAATGGTAGATATATATATATATATATATATATATATATATATATATATATATATATATATATATATATATATATATATATATATTAAAGTAGGGACAAGCTACATGGATATTCGATCCATGAGCTTCCTACCAGTTCTAGGTTATTATACGACAAAAGCATGGCCACCTAGATATAGGATATTGTGACTTACATACATTCTCGTTATCAATAAATGACTAACTAGATAAAGTAATCCATTTAGGACTTCAGTGACAATTTGTTTAGATTTTAAAAGGAATTTGAGCAGTTACGTTGTATTTTAAAAACAATTTTTGTAGATTGTTAAATTTTGTAAAATTAATATTGATAAATATACCAAGTCCTAATCCAGCCTACTTATCATGCTTGCTTTAGAAAAACTCATATTAAAAAAAACGAAACACAGCTATGAGGGGGGGGGGGGGGGGGGGGAGAGGAGAGTAAAACTGAACTGTGACTTCAGTTTAAATGAGTGGGATCTGTGTATAGTTTTTTTAACGATATAAATGGGGAAAGGGGTAAAAATTGTCATATAATGCGTGTCGTCATTTATGGACGCGGCATTAACAAGAGATAGTAAAGACTCGTGAACTACATCTGTCCCAATTAGACCCAATATGTCAGAAAACGTGTACTACTGGAGCATATAACTATAATAACTATGATTGTTGGGTCTGTACAATGTAGTTTGTAGAACATGTCATTGATACATACACGGAGGGCTTATACGGTGTGTATTAAGAATTGATAAAAATTATGTAACAGTTTACTTTCAGATGCCCTTATTTTAAATAAACAGCATTCAGCGGCTCATATGTATACATATACACATACATATATATATATATATATATATATATATATATATATATATATATATATATATATATATATATATATATATAAAGCTTGATTTAAATTGGTGATGTCAAATTGATAAGAACATGTTAAAGTTCGAACAACTAACAACTTACTTGAAAATCAATGGCCTTTCCTGCTTCAAACCTATCCCATCCTGATTTGAAGGCGTCTTTGATGCCAACACCCCGAGCTGATTGGTTATTGTTGGCATCATTTGCCTTGGCGTTTTGTTTATCATCGGAACCCTCATTTTTAGCCGACTCACCCCCATCTTCTTCTTTGTTTTTCTTTAACGACTTCAACA